TCTCATCACTTCACTTGCCGTGCATTTAGCAAATCAGGCCTTTAATAAACCATAACTCACAATTCACAAACTAGGGTTCCTCTTCTATTTCTCCTAAACACACCATAAAACATAAATCATGCATCCTATACTAGTTGAGGTGATTAACTATATACCTACTCCAGTACTTGGTAATATAGTAATCTATGTACGTGTTTCATACATGAATGCCCATACTGAGTACTCTTAAAATAACGTTTCACATAATATAGTAGGACTGAGGGAGATTTAAAATAAGTGTCTTGCAATCAAAATATATTACAGTAATGATTTAATATATCTTGCGCATGGCACAATGCTCGTAAGTAGCTCAAAATAAAATGCAGTAGATATGATGGTACAACCAGCTTTCACATAATATACACTAGTGCTCCAAGCGTAGATACTACGGAGCACTATTGTATGAGTATACTGTATACGTACAACAATAAACTGAGGTTGTAGTTGTAAGGTCAGAATGAATATGTATGAGTGGTGGTTGTCTATAAAATCATAGAAAGAATAAATCACTATCGCATTGTATCGTATTGTCTCATCTCTCAAATCTGTTTATGAATCTATCGCAATAAGTTTGAATTGAAAGTGGGGGATCACAGCCATTACACCCAGCTTAGATTCCAGCAGAAAAGAAACAAACAATAATGTGAACTGTATTAATACACACCGTACGGACTGTTATCTCTATGTTGCGTTTAAGCCCATATGCGCCGTGATCGGGGGCCAACCGCTTCATCTTGTCATTTTCTCTCTTGTCAATTGTCAACCCTTCGTTTTCTTCTCTTTTTTCATTTCTTTGGCACACCATTTTCTTCTTTACAATCATATTTAACGTAGATTTTTATTTACCACATTTATATTATGCCTTTTTTTTACTATTATTATTTACACGAGAATCAACATAATTTTTGTTGAGTATAAAAGTTATGATGATATGATATGATATTACTTGTAAGATATAATGCAACTATTTGGCATATATGGGTACGTTGTAGGAATTTATTATAAAAGATACGGAGTATTACATCTGATAGGTTTTAATTTTAATTACAACTAGATAGATTGTTGTCCCTTTTTTCTTTTTTCTTTTTCTTTTTCTTTTTTTTTAAAAAAAGTACTACTCCAACTCTTAATTGAAATTGTTGGAATTCATATTTTTAAAACAAGACCTTAATTTTGAACAATAGACATATTAATTAGATCTACTGTTCACGGACTACCTACCTCTTCCTCCAACAACTTAGCATTTGGCAATATACATTGGTTTCAAACTAACTAGTCTGGTACGAGTTTGTTTTTTTTTTTTTTTTTTTTTTTTTTGACATAATAAAAATTAATTGATTAATAGAAGTTAGGCAAAATTAGGAAATTTTGAGAATGTGTTTCTCCTTTATTTTGTTGACTTGGAAAATTAATAATTTTATGTGGAAGTATTACAATCACAAGTCACATGTGATGGACTTAATATATATAAGAGGTGGACCAATTTGATCCTCTTAGATTATTACTCGTATCATATAACTTGTGAGCAAGTACTTGTGAAGTTGTGAGCACTCGAGTTCTAATTTTGGCATTCCCGCTCACTCATGATTTTTCTAAAATAAGTTATAGAAGGTAAAGTGTTACTTTAAAGGGTTTAATCCCACCGAAATATTGTGAATTTTACAAAATATAATTAATATCGAAATATATATAGGTAATATTACTAATATAGCATGGTATGCAATTAGATGATCCCGATGTATAATTTCAATGATAGGTTTAAGTGCAAGTGTCTCATGCACCACCAAACACAAGTTGTAAGCACGCCATTGATGCAATAAGACTGTAAGAGTGAACTAATGGTTCATGTTTGGTTTCCCTTGCCTTATTTTGAGAAACATAAAATAACATTGTCTTTAAAATAAAAAATAATAATAATAATAAAAAAACATAAAATAAGAAATGTTCTAAAATTAATTAAAATTCAGCATGTAAGAACTAGATTAGGGGTCATTATATAACTAGATTAGGTTTTGGGTACAAGCTATGGGGTTGAAATGAGTAAAACTTATATTTGATATTTGTTTAAGAATAATCCAATTTCTAAATCCGCACCTCTAGGAAATAAAAAAGAGGAAAAACATACCTGAACATCAAACAAACACAAAAAATAAAGAATCAAGTTTCAAATAAAATCAAACCACTCAAGTTTCATTTTTAATTCCAAACCCATACCACTTTGTGAACTAAACACCCCTAAGTCTCGTATCATGCATTATACTTTCATTATTTATCATCAATTTAACACTATATATATTAAAAACTTGTACTGGTATAACAACAATATTTTTGAGAATCAACCAAATAATATTTTCTTCCTATAAAGATAGATTTTCCTTTTCGTTAAAAAAAAAAGGTTAAGATCAAATTTAATTGGGAGATGTTACCGGATAGATTATGTCCTAATTAAGTATTATTATAACGCTTTAATTTACATTAACGTCCCTAACAAATTATAAAGTAGCAGAGCATAATGTTGAGACCTCAATAAGAGCTAGCCTACGACCACGTACTACTCCATGATTGTGTCGCTATTAACCTATTATCATGTGTTGTTATCACTACTTATTACTAATTACGCTATTAATCACTCTATCACGCAGAATTATATCTATGTAGGTATATATTGTATTGATTTTCGAAAATTATTATAACTCAAATTTGATGATTTGTTTGTCTGTAAACTTGACGTCCGTTGCGGCCATAAGACTATAAGAGTCATAAAGAGTTAGAGAACACTACTACAGATTACAGAATACATTTCAAATATAAGTAAGAAAAAGTGTACATATATATATATATACTAATCGAGTGACGTAGAGGTAAATTACGAAAACTTGCGTACATATAGTTGATACTTGATAGTATCATAGGAGTTATTAGTATACGTGTTACTGAGAAACGCTAAGAGAAAGCTGCTATTTTACAGTGTCCAGTAGCTTTTAACTATTAATAACCATTTTAAGTCAATACATTTTTGTATTTTCTGTGTGATGAATATATTCAGTTAGTTTAAAAGTAAGATCAGATTTTCTATCAGCTAAAATGATGAAGCTAATTACTGATCAGATTTTTCACGTTGATAATTTGCCAAAAGTGGTCCATTTTGGACATGGAACATAAATTTGCTACCTGTATATCTGATTTGTAAATATATTATTCTTTGCTATTCAGGAATTTAAAACAAGTTTAAATAACCAAGTAAATACTCCATTTGGATTATCGAGACGAATCATATAAGATTCCACTTGATAAGTGTGATGATACCTCCATAATATTTTGATGTTTGTATAAGTGATAACATTTCGTTACTATGTTAAATTTATTGAACCAATGTAATAATCTGTTACGATATCATAATAGATACGAGTAATATGTGTAGGTGCTATAGTGCAAAATATTCCACAGCTTCTAATAATTGACTTTCAATTTCAATGGTCAATATAATTATAGACAAATTACTCGTAATAATGATTTGATTAATTACGTGATTACGTGTCTTAAATTCTTCAGGAGGCCGGGTACCTGCAAGCAAGACATAGAGGCAGCTCTGTCTAAAAATAAAAAAGACATAGAGGCAGCACTTAATGTAAGTAACAATACTAATAAGAAGATTTGTAATATTACTGTGGCGTAAATGGTCCCGAAACAAAAAAAAAAGTTTAGCAGAAGCACGCACTAATAATGGAAGATTGAAGCAGTATGTAGAAAATGGAATTGATGGATTATTCTTTTCCATGGATCGTCTACTCTCTCATCATCTAATATTATTGTAGGTGTACTGTTAAGTTGGCCAGCCTTAGTGCTGGGCGGTGAGTGAATTCCAGAATAAAGTGATAATCAAGGTAGTTATCACTTAGATATCATTCTCATACTCATACTCATACTCATGCTCATTGTCTAGGACGTGATATAAAGCCTTGATCCAAGGAGATACCAACATTTGATTGATTAGGTAGCTCAATTACACTAATTCAATTGCCATTGTTTTTATTACTTATTGAAACTTTAATTTATTCCAACTAATCTGAATATAATTTGTCTATAATAACTATTGTAAAACATAATAGTATAGTGTTGTGCAAGACACATCCTAGTTTCATTTACTTCAACAAAACTTATAAGTTCAAATAATTACAGATAATGTAGATTCAAAACTAAGTTTAAGGCTAATATGTTTAGCTATATTAAGTTCAAGGTCGTCAATAAGAGTTAACCATGCAAGTTCAATTCATAGACATAATAAGTGCTAAAAAGTTCATTTCAAGTTAGTTGAGTTAGGTCCATAAACCTAGTTATATAAAATCTAGCGTGTTTATATATTGTACTTCTTTTTATGATACAAACTTAACTTACATTTTGATGCTTTTATATAAGCATGTACAACTATTGAAGCATTTAGCTTCGTCATAATAATGTTTCAAGCTTAAAAGTTCATAATAAATGCCATTCTGAAATCAATTTGTTGTACGAGTAGATAGCGAGTTACATTTATATGCCTTTTCTTTTTTCAATGCGTGATAAACAATAATCCTAATTTATATATGTGTGGATAATTATCATAACATCCCCTCACACGAGCCCATCTATCTAGAAAGGTTAAAAGTAATCTTTGATGGCCCTCTTTGGATTTCCAACATGAGAGCACCCTTACTCGAGACAATCGATTATATATGTTATTACTTGCTACAAACAAATCTCCAAATTCTCGTCTTGATCGAGTTTTTCAAATCAATGGGCTAGTTCTTCCTCTATCGGATTGATAATAGGCAGTGATGGATCTTAACCCTTAATTAAATTGATTGCCCAAATTAATCTTCCATTTTGACTCAATACTATGCAGTAAAGGTAATAGCTAGCTTGGGAATTTAATAAAACTTTATAAACATTGATGATGCTTAATGTATAACTCAATTAATATTGATAATGTAACAACATTCAAGAGTACATTCTAAAATAAATACTACGTATATTAATCCATAAAAGTAGCATGCAGTGTAGATCATATATTAGCACAAAACAATTAGCAGCCAGCATCAAAAATGAAGTTATTGAATAATAGAACAAGTATCTAAGCAAAATTAAAAATGATGGTATAAAAAGGAGGGTGAGATACTGATACTGAATTAGTGAGATATTAAAGGTAAGGTTGGCGGTTAATTGGAGGAAGAGGTAAGGAAACAAAAAGCAGATTGACGAGACACGTGGAAGAAGGAAGACCGTTAGATGAAAACATGCAAATAGTACCCGGATATTGAGATGAGGGCAAAAAAAAGTACTCCGTAAGAAAGAAAGAGGGATTTGCTTGGAATTGGAAACACCAAACACCATCCATCCTTGTTTTTTAAAATAAAATAAATTCCAAAGATTTGTACTATTTGTTGATTATAATAAAAGGGGTAAATTATAAATGATATGATCAGCTTTAAGAAGAGAGAGAAATAAAGGGAGTAGCAGAGTACTAGTGCAGCAGTAGTAGTAATACTCACAAAGAAAGAAAGAGAATTGCAGAAACCCAACAAAGAAAGAAAAGAGTAAAAATTGTTGTTGGGAAGGTGTCTATGGCGGCGTAGCAGAGCTGTCTCAATAAAAATGTCTCATCTTTCTTCTTAATGTTTCCTGATTAGCGCTGCTTCTCTTCTGACTTTCTTTCTCCTTCCATTTACTTATTCTATTTTATTCCTTCTTTTTTTCTTTGTTTTCTTACACCCTCATAAACAAACAAACACACCCTATTAACCAAACAAACATCCAAATCCACCCCTTTTTTCACTAAACAGTGATCTACCCTTATCTCCCATTAATAATTCTTCATATTTGAAAAAGGCTATGGAGTGTTTGCTTGAGAAATTGAGGGTAGGGGAGACCAAATTATGGCTGAATTTTTCTCACTAGGAACAGGAAGTAGTGCAGGCAACAATAACAACATAACTTACAGGAATGAGCAAATCCATGGTTACCAGCAGCATGAAACTAAAGTATCATCAGAAGAGCTATGGCAACACCTTCCTTACTCCCAACTAAGAATCGCACCGACGGAGGAAGGTGGAGATGAGACCACGAGATCTGGTTTAATGATGATGAGAATGACTAGTACAAGTAGTGGTGCCGGTAATATTAGCTGCCAAGATTGCGGCAACCAAGCTAAGAAAGATTGTGTGTATATGAGATGTAGGACTTGTTGCAAAAGCCGTGGATTTGATTGTGCTACTCATGTCAAGAGTACTTGGGTCCCCGCTACCGTTCGCCGGGAACGCCACCAAAAACTTCTCCAACAACACCCTCAACAACAACAAGAGCAACAACAGCAACAGCAACAACAATACTTGAGAGGTGTGAATAACCCAAAGAGGAGAAGAGAGAATTGTTCAACCTCTTTGGTTTGCACCCAATTGCCCATCACTACTACTAATACTAATACTGCCTCTTTTTCAGGTATACTAGTATAACCTAGGGGAAGGAATCTTTTATTGGGTTTTTTTTTCTCTTTTTCTTTTTTTTTTTTCGGTTGATGTAATTTATGCGTGTGAATATTAACATATGATCTTGATATTTTGCGTGTAAATGGGGAAAATGAATTTTTTTATAAAATAAATAAAAAAAAAAAAAAAAAAACCTTATGCTTGGTTAGTGGTGGTGTCTTTTGGTGATACTGTTGTTTAGTATTCCTGACGAATAGATTGACAAGAAAGGAGAGGTGCTGAGCTTTTGCCCCTTTCTTTCTTTATCCTCCTCTTTGTCCGTGTTTTTCCTCTATGTTTCCCAAGCTATTATTTGACAATCTGTATTTTGAATCATTGTCATCCTCATGTGCACATTCACCCTTTTTCCAATTCTTTCATTTTTTTTTTCAAATATTTATTTTACAATCCTGACTTTTATTTGTTAAAAGTTTTGTTTGTATAACAGTAGGATATCATATCATCAAATTAAGACCTAATTTTTGTGTTTTATTAATACAGCAGGTATGGAAGTTGGAAATTTCCCGGCAGAAGTGAGCTCGTCGGCGGTGTTCCGGTGCGTAAGGGTGAGCTCAGTGGACGAAACGGATGATGAGTATGCATATCAAACAGCAGTAAACATAGGAGGACATGTATTCAAAGGGATTCTGTATGATCATGGAGTTGATCATTCTCACCAAGTTAATACTCCCAGCCCCAACTACGGTGCTGGAGAAACCTCTTCTGGAGCTAACCTTGCTGCTTCCATGGCTCCTCCCACTTCTATCTCGGCTATGCCAACCTCTTCTTCTTCACTGCCAGTCGGCTATTTAGACCCGTCTTACTACCCGCTTCCTCTCAACACTTACTTGGGTCCGGGTACGCCATTCTTCCCCAACCCAAGACCTTAGATTATTAATCAACCCAAATAAACATACAACTATATGCAATGGAGTTTTCTTATGTTTCTTGTTATATTATTAGCTCCCTTTCTTTCCACTCTCAATCTCATTGATACGATTTAGCAATTTGTGAAAGCTGGTGATGATCATATCTTAGCTTATTGAGAATTGTTTTTATTAAAGATAATTTGAATAGGTAAAGCCTAGAGCAAGGGAAGAAGAATACATGATATGGGTTGTTATTATATTGATTTTGTTTTTGTATGTCCTCCATTTAGAATATATATGATCTATTTAAAATTGTGGTTGTTATAAATAAAAATGTGTAAGATTGTATCATTCTTGCTCTGTAACAACTTTCTATTGAACACATGTATAGTTAGGCAAGCAGCTAGGATGGTTGATAGTCATACTAGTTTGGTACCAATTCTTTGTTCTGAGTTTCAAAGTTGACTTGAACTTGAAAATGTTATTGCCTACATACGTAGTTTTTCAATGTTTACTCTATTGATGATAGTTACGTAATCCCATGTCAACTCCCTTTAGTAGCATCACTTTAGCTTAATTGACTGCTCTTGTATACTTTGCACCTCTGTATACTGGAATTACTGATCATATAGCATCGTAAAGCCCTTTCTTAGCTTAGCTCTCATATGATAATTAATGCTTTTGTCACAACTCTTAATTAATACTCCGTTTTAGGCTTCGTTCTATGTACGTTCTATCTCAACCTGATTTATGATGTAAAATGATCTTGTTAGCCTTTAGTAGAACTTATTTGAATTTGTATGTATTCCCAAAACTTATTTTTCTAAGTTGAATAATAATAATGAGTTTCTATTAGTGCATGATGGTTTAAAACAAATCTGAATTTATATATACATTCCTACAACTTAATTTTGCAAGTCAAAACATGGAAATATGTTTCTACTAATGCATGATGATCATAGATGATGAATGCCTTCTTAAAACTAATCTGATTTTTCATTCTTCGTATATCCCTAAAACTTTATATTTTTAATCAAATCGTGATAATGTGTGTCTACAAAGCATGATCATCAAATGATTGATGTATGTCTTATTGGAACTAATCTGAATTAATGCATATTCTAGCTTATTAGAAAATTGATAGTGTTCACAAATAGCGTGATGATCAGATGATGTATGATAGTAGCTACTCTCCTTTAAAAGATAAACATGAGATCGATGTTATATGCTCTTCTATATACTTGTATTCCATAAGGAGCATGACTTTGATGATCATAAATTCATGTCATTAAAATTGTTTCCATGTTCTTGAAAAATCTTTCTATTATTTAAATTTTTTATAGCACATGCATTTTCTTTTTCTTGGGGGTGGTAGAAAAAGAATTTGAACCCATTAAAGTTAAGGGTAATCCAAATAGGAAGAACGAAAAATGGGATAATGTTTAGTGGTTGTTTCTTGGTTTTTAATTTTTTTGAATATCAAAGTTCCTTTTCCCAGCTTACCCGTAAGAGTGCCGGATTTGAAAGGAGGGTTTTCTTCTTGAGTTGGAGAAAATATACTCCACTTTGGGCGCTACAGATTGCTTTCTTTTTTACTGTGAATGCACTGCCCTCTATGCCACCCGTATACAGTAGTTGTATATACTGTAATGCTTTTACAATGTGCATGTCAAATTTTATCATAATATTTTATCATATATATGTACACACCAAGAAAGAATATACTGTATATGTCTAAACTGTGTAAATGATTGTACTAATTACATACTTGTAGCATCTTAACAAGTGACATAACATTAATAGTAAACCATGGAATGGAAATTAAACTGTATATTATTTGCTTCTCCAAATATAATAGCAGTACTAAAATATGTTTATATAATGAAGAGGACAATATTATAAACTACTCCAGTAAGAAGTTGAGACTTTCAACTCCATGTTTATGATACCCCCCAAGCCAGCTGTTGTTTCTCAATTATCTTTACCCTTTCTTGAATCTTTTCTCATAAGAATAGTATGGAATTTCTGTCCTGATGAACAATCAGCTTTCTTTTTGGCTCATATTACCATGTATCTTTGTATTAATTAAGCTTAGTTAAGCTTTCCTATGTCCTACGCTTAATTAAAGTCGTAACATGAACACTTTAGGCATCTGAGAAAACTTAGTAATGCAGTAATCTAAATTGTTTGCTTAAGTTCTATGCTAATCAAAGAGCTTTGAGTTAGCAATGATAAGAAGTCGTCGTATACTTTAATTTATTGATTGCCTTGAACCCTCTTTTCAGCAGCTCATGTGTTAGTGTTCTAATTAATCCTTTAGGTTTTGTGATTTGTGCACCTTTTACATTTATCTGTTGGTAATTATCATTTTCAACGTTTTATCTTTCAATTGTTTTGGATTCCGTTCTAAGAGAATCATGAATTGTCAGCTTTAATAAATAACATATTCATTGTTTGCTTGCTTGCTGAAACTTCTTCATTCCTTCAGCCCTCTCCCTTTAATGTATGCTGTGAGTTGCTACAAAAGTACTCTATATATACGAAAGTATTGCATTTATTCAATTGATAGTCACTTTAAAGTGTGATTTAAATTAGTACTCGTACTTTGACATCTATGTTCATTTTTTCAAGCAAAAGGAGTATTTCATCACACTTGTTCTAGCTACCAATTGTGTTTAGGGCTTTTTGTTAAAGCATCTGTATATCACGTATATATATGCACCTCTCGGTGCACCCCTTCACATTCAACTACTCACATGCGCTACATATGAGCTAAGTGCACCTAGCTCATATATATAATTGACGATTTAAGATGAAATCCTGTTGAAGTTGTATGTGGTTAAATACCAAAGAGGTAATCCTCTTGTTACCAATTGACGATTTTTAGTGATGAAATCTTATTGTCTTGGATGTGGTTAAACTACTATAAGCTATAACGTGAAACTACTACTATAATAAAGCAATTGTCTGGTAGTAGGATCAGAGGCAAAAGGTTTCCATGTATGTATCTACTCCGTAATATTTACAGCCATATATCCTCGCTCTATTGGAATTAGCAAGCTAAACACATTGTTGACTTAGTTTTTCTATTAAGGCAATGATGAGCAATGGTACACCAATCTAAAGTCAATCAACATGTTTTTTTTAAATATTTTATAATGATTACGAGGCAGATTGTGTAAAATCTACTCCGTAATAATCACATGAACTTCAAAGTCTTTGCACCATGGTAGGATAATTTTCTGGCACTTATAGATTCATGTAAATACGTAATGCCAATTTTGGTTGGATATGAACATATGATGAAATTCTGTTCGATTTTACAGGTTGATTTCTATATCATTGTTCATCGTACACATCTAGCTAGCATACATACTTGTACATACATTGATACATATCTCTACGCTCATCGTACACATCTACATACTTGTACATACATATCTATACAACGAAACATCTATCTATGGTCTACATCTGAGTCTTGGTAACTATCTTAATACAGTAATAATTAATAAATACCTATCTCTACCACGAAACATCCAAAAGCATGCAATGAATTCTTTTAAGACAACTACTAGACTAAGTAAACCTAATTACCTAACCATTATTTGGATTTTATTGACAATTAACCCTTTCCGGTCTTTTAGTAATTTGCTTTTTTTTTTTTCTTTTAAATTCCTCTCGATTTTTCGAGTAGTTTCAAGATGTGTATGGTACAACTTATACTTCGTATAATAAACCAAATAAAATGAACATACAAACCAAAAAATAGCCTTCCTGTTGTACAATAATAATTGACGAGTACTATGATCTAGAGTTTAGGAAGTGGAAGCTGAAATTGGAGGAGGTCGGTCATAGGATGGAAAAAAACAGTAGCTAAAATCAGCCCATTTCTATTTTTGTACAACCTATAAAAGGTGGTGCTTATGCTTATTTAATTTGTTCTAAGTACATAATAATTACGCAATTTTAATGCAATTTCAAGGTTAATAATTTTTGTGGTGACACATTTACATCATTAATTAGTAAGTGTTCCATTTGAATTTACAGATTTTCATCATCAATCATGGCCGCTTCTATAAACAGCAATAAATAATTAAATAGTACTGGAAATGAATATTGATGAAGAAAACATGTACTCCATATATACTTAATACATTAATATAAAAAATTCGTAAAAGACGTTATAATAGGGATTAAATACAATCTTAAATATATACAACCTTGTATCAGTTGAAGTGTATGTTCTTTAATCATTATTCACGGTTATATAAGCATTTACTAATATAAGCGCTTCCTTCATATTGATGGTTCATAGTCCTTTTTTTGGGGTCATTCAGAGTAGGATGATTTGCTACAATTGTAAACAACCATATGTCGCACTTGTTATTTTTGCACTTTGATTAATATATACCACCTCTTTTTGTATGCTTGCAACACACCATTTTTATACGGAATTGAAGGTTTAGATTATAAAAGGTAAATAAACTAATAAATTAATAATAAAAATAAATTTACAACTAGGAAATAGAATGAATTAGATTCTTATGGTTTACAATTTTTTATGTTGATTTTGTCTATTAGCCATTTTTACTCACTTCCGACCCTCAAATATTGTGCCAAGAAGGTTTATTATTGTAAGTATTATGAAATAGAGCAAGTAGTTAATATGCAAACTTAATTTATATTGCATGAGTTTAGTCTTGAGGGACTAAATTTGATTAATATAGTTGTGTATATGATATAATACTATTAAAAGTTTTGATTAGTTGTATCGTATATTTATTTTCAGTAATATTTCATACATATAAGAGTATGTACTAAACTCTCTATATGTTAGCTTTTTCCTCAGAAAAAAACTCTATGTTACCTTACACAAATGGTATATGTATGTGCGACTTCTTGATGCCCGACTATGTGAGTTATATTAGGCAATCTTATTATTGACGTTTATTAAGAGATAATTAATAAAGAATTAAAAGATCATACTTTTTCAATTGCCTCACTTAAAACCCAAAAGTATATGCATATAATAATAATAATAATAATAATAATAATAATAAACAAAGGGTACTAATTAGGGTGAGAAATGAAAGGATTAATGATGAAAGAAGCATACCTTATAAAAACTTATGTGCTTCAATTCTGCTACTACAATCTTATGTACACGATAGGAATTGTAACTTGTTAGCCACTATAATTTCTTCAAATCATTCTTGATGATTGGGTGCAACACTAGATATTGATTGAACACACAATAGAGTAGAAGTTGTAAGTTGAAGAATTAAAGGGAAAACAAAAGAAAAGAAGAAAATGTATGTGTAAATGAAAAGAAGTGATGTAAAACGTAAAGAAAAAGAAGGAAAGTGTCTTCAAACTTAAGGCACAACCTAGCAACTCATTTTTGGGTAGCCTTTGTCAGTCAATTATTACTCACAATTATAGGACACTACATAGTCTCTACAATCTACGCTAAAGAATGAAGCAAGCTAGAATTCTATAAAGGCATGTCTACAATAATAGGAAGCAACAAGCTAAAGCTAAGCTAAGTGCACCCCAACAATCACGGGAACAGAGAAAGAAAGCAATTTGAGGGTATAGCTTAGGGTTTCTTTTCGTGTCATTAGCCCATGCATTTTTATGCTTATTTTATTACTGACGTGGTCATTTTTATTTTTATATTTGGCATGCATTTTTGATGAATTATACTAACCAACAATAATGCAACTTGTTTATATTTCTTAATCTAGCTAGGGTAAACCCCAACTTTAATTTGTGCTACTCTCTTATCTACATAAATTTCTATAGAGATGTTTAGGTTCTAATTGGACTATTTTTATCTTGTGAACTTAATGATTTGGTTCATAAGCATCATTATTTAAATAGTACTATTGGCTGTTGAATTGGCCTGGATACCCAATTAGATATAACGATATTAGTACGGATACTTGACTCATGCTCACTGTACTTAATTTAGTTGTGATGATGGGATCAATTCATCAATGAGCACAAAAGAAAAGTAGAATATACTGTTCAAACAATTCTACAACGAATGTAATATGCAGAAGCAGAACAACAATACTCGGTACTCGTATATGATAAATTAATCAAGTGGATAGTATTTGGAATGAAGGAAACAATTATAAGTAAGATTAAAGAGGAAAGAGGGGGACCTTTGAATTGAATGGGCCACGTAAGAAATAAATGCAGCGCAGTATCTAAAGATGCTTAGTTACATTAGAATTAAATATGGTTGGGGCTCATTCGCTACTCCGTATAAGCCTATATCTAATATCCTTCCGTTAGGGTTGAGAGTGCGTAGTGGAATCTAATCAAAGATGTAGACAATAAGAAGCCATTCGTGGCATACACTCCATATTTTTACGAGCCTTCCTCAAATACTAGCTATCTTCTTATACAAATCAATTGTACCTTTATACAACTCTTTTGTAAGTTTATTCCTAATAATGAGAGTTAGTATTTTCCAACGTTAAATATTGTGTGCTTTTTTAAAAAAAAAAAAAAAATTATATTGTTTATATATCTTGCCTTTTTTTTTATTATTCTCTCAGTCCCTCTTATTTAATCTTCTTAATCTCTACAGCTTTAATTTTCTTCCACTATACACTCACAACTAACCTTTACCTGTAATTCTTTAAGATCATCTTTTTGGGCTTTTCTTCTACCTTGTACTGCCACCCTGCTGCTTACTTGTGCTCCATCAAGCATTTAAGATTTTGGAAATTTCTATTATTCTAATATTTTAAGATATGTCATTGTCTTCCTCAGCTCGATCTTAATCATCACGGTCCCTATCTGGTTATCATATACGAGTACGAAATACCTGCTTAAAACTAAAACTAATCATATTCAATTCCATGGTTTACGTTTGAATCATTGGATGTATCGTACCAAGTATATATCATGTACTCTTTATAAAACTGCACACGACTACTTGCTTAGCTTGACTGTACTCTTTGCAAAAACTCTCCAACTTATTACTCCATATTAACTACTCCCAAATTCCAAATAACGTACCATAACGTTTTTTGTTCATGGTCCTTCCATTTTTGTGTTTATAAGTTACACTTTCATTTTATGCACGATTTTTATACTACTATACGTATATATAATATACTCTGACTCTGTATATAATACTCATATATGTATTCAGTTTTATTCTCGTTATTACGCTTTTCTTTTATGGTCACTACAGTTTTAAAATATCTCAATTTTTTTCTTGATTTATACCAAAATACTCCGTACTTGTATAAATTATTTGTTGAGAATTGTGCCTAGTTTATTGAAATGAAAATTTTACTACAGTACTTACTACTTAGGTGTAAAAGATATACTTCACTGGAAACTCTAAAAGCATTTTGAAATAACATTTTCTATTTACAATATATGAAGTACTTGGTATTAATAAATTGTTTTTGCCGCACTCAATATTTTTAAAAGGAGTTGGTGATCAATTAGATTGACATAATAGACCTCTTAATTTCCTAAAGTATCGCTTGATCATAATTCGATTGGAGAACACACAAAAAGCAACTCTTGATTAGCACATAAATTGATGGAGTTGTTAGTAGGATAAAAAAAATGGATAACCTTAATCGCATTACTTTAGAAGCATCTCAAGTTTAAATTTTTTTAATATTTGCTTAATAAGCATTAAGAATAAAAAATAAAAAAAAAATAAAAATAAAAAAGCTCAGTCTAATTTCCCTGATTATATTAATTCAGTTTGTCTTTCCAAAGGAGTAAAGATACAAAAAAATTATATTCTTTGCAAAAGCAAACAACAAACAACAAACATGATAAATAGATAGCCATAGTTGCATGTGAAATTGCAGATTGGTACCATTAGCTTAGGCCATAGTCGCATGGGCAAATCCATAAATTAGGTTAAGAATAAGAAACTATGGAGTACGTAGTAATTCCTTTTAAGAAAAAATCTGCAATTTTTTGTAAAGTAAAAGTGATTTGTTTGTGACCAAGTATACAGGCACTGAAATATTGTTTTATGTTACTAATCTCCAAAACAATTCAATTTATATCTCCGCCAATTTAAATTTGCCAATAATTGACACTCAAAGGTAAACGTGCCAACTACTGTATTATTCATTGGGAAGAAAAGGAATAATCAATGACTTGTAAGATGAACATGGATTTATGCAAATCGAAGAGAGATTTTTTAAAAGCAAGATGAAAAGAGTACTTCCTATGTAAAATCTTGGAATCTTAGCTTTCAAAAGAGAAGAAATATGTGTTGGTTCAAATCTCGGAATCTTAGCTTTCAAAAGAGAAGAAATGCGTGTTTGTTGAGCCTTGGCGCTTCCAACATAGAGAATAGATGCCTCAAGAACAATAAGAGCAGGGTCCTCAGGACATGAGGATTGTTTTAATTGGAAACAAGAAATCACTCACTCAACATGGACTAGGCTGACAGCCCACAATCTTTCAAATATAAAGGCTCAACCCACAACTGCCCCGCAACCCAGCTTATTTGAATGGTAGAGCAGATGTGCACAACTATTGTGAAAGTAATTTTGTTAAATTCATGATAATCATAGATTCATAAATGGGGAAAATATATGTAACTTTTAGCCTGAAAGATGCTCTATAGACTCTGCTGCAAAACTGCAAGCAACTAAAGATGTCATTGAAAATTAGAAACTACAGCGAAAGAGTAAAGTTCCAGCCTTAACTAATCAAAACCTAATTTAAATACAAACCCCTCCAAAAAAAAGGGTACAAAAGAACAAAAGCTGCAAATTTACAAGCAAAAGACAGCAAGTATAACCAACAGGATCCCAAAGCTCGAGTTAAAGTGAGATGGCAATACCTCCATCCAAGCGAGCTGCAAGCCTTCTCATCTTTCTTGTTAAAGTGTATGCTCCCATTGTTGTTGGGCATGATTCATTTGAAGTGTATAATTGTAGTTGTTTCCAATTTCAAGAATCACTCTCATCAATCATCTGGGAGCACGAGGTTTCCCATTCACAGAGTTCAAATGCTGGGTAACAAATATGACTCCCATCACAACAATGAGGCAACCAACCAACGTGCTAAAGAAGAGGGCACCTGGCTGCCTGGATTGAACAAAGCCATACACCCCATTTGCAGTAACTAGGATGATATCATTCAGCCCGTCATTTGAGAAATCTGAAGAAACCAGGGCATGAGTTGGTGGTGCAGGGAGTTCAAGTGTTGTCAAGATGCTTCCATCAACAGATATAACAATAGCTTCCTGGTCTCCAGCTACAAGAATCAATTGTCGATTATCATGGACCCGCAGTGAAAACAGTTTTAGTGTAGGAACCACATTGCCAGATTCCATCATTCCAGAGGGAGAAGGTAGATTAGACCATGTTGCCCCTGTCATGATCTGCCACTGCCAGACTGCCTCGTGCCCATGTTCACCAGGAGAGTATGATGTTACCTGAAACAAATTCACAATTAAAGCATCAACAAAGCAGAAGATGCGCATAGAGTTTAAGTCAAGGGAATGAGCAAGAGAGAATTGTGTTGCTTCCAATTCCAGCCATACCCATGTGGTTACATTAGTATGTTAGATATGAATAGTGCATAGGGATGCCTTAAGTATCATATTTTCATGTTTCAAGTATAAAACAAAACTCGTATTATATATGTGCACAAGCGAGCACACACACATAAAAAAGGTTACAAAATCATACCTCTCCTCTGCTTGTTAAAAAGATGACATCCCCATGGCTTCCCTTCCGATGATGATGACCATCATCTCTAGGAATAAGAATTGGTGTGGCAACCTCCAGGGAACTAACATCTTGAGCTCTACCAAAACCTCGGGAGAATTCACCGTGTTGAAATAAGTTAAAAGGAGAATAATGATGACATATAGAAGCATTGAAGAGCTGTTCTCGCACTGGCACCCCAGAGGTAGCTATTGCCCAGCAAGGTCGGAGTACTTCCATAGATCCACTCACAACTGTTTGCTCAGCACCATTTCCACCCACCACCTGCAGAAAGCAATTTTATATATTACCTATAATTTCAGTTCCAAACACTCAAAAGAAGACGATAACAATTTGCAGTGTAAATTGAAACAAGTAAAAACTTAGGTCAACTGCCACCATTATTCCCTGCTGATCCTATGCTCAGGCTCTAGAAAAAAATAATCTCTGAACTCATAGTTTTCCGGAGGTCAAAAGCATAATTAAACATAAAGAAAAACATGCTTTTGTTTGAAGTCTTCGACTTTGATTATATCAACAGTCAATAAGGCATCAAGACAAAATGCTTTTGTTTGAGGTCTTCCACTGAGATATTCATTGTTCACAATTCTCATTTTTTAAGTTCCATCGCAGAAGAAACCCGATCACTAGATGAAATGGCTGAGTTGTCATTATGCTTCTGTGCAATTTCATAAAGCATTGACCCTAACCTGTTTTACTGAATGGAATGGGTATTCACAGTAGAATATTCCATCTCTTTACTACAGCCATCTTATCATCAAATAGAGTGACGGTACATGAGAACATGGAATTATAGTGATACTGTGATAGACAAGTCTGGCATAATCTTAACCCTCCCTTTAACATGCAAATATGCAATTTAAATCAGACAGAATATGATGATGGCACAAAATTAGAGAAAATGATTGGCCTTGTTAAGATGAGAGAAACTTTTCGTTCTCGAAAAATTGATACTCCCAAACTTACAAAAATCCAACTACAGCGCCAACTTGGTCATTGTAGCTTGAATCTATTTCACGCCAACCTTCCAACAAAACATAATGTACCAAACAGGCATACATGCCAACAAATGTCAGTTGAAGAGCCACTTGCCTGCACATGATCTAACACCCCATCTCCATTAATATCAGCATGAAGTCCACCTTCTTGAAGTTGAAGCTGTTTAAAACAGTTAGTTTCATGTGGAAGGATCAGATAATGCCAGAAAAATAATTTATGCATTGAAAGAAACAAAGCACATATGTATCAACAATTTAGTATATACCACCCCGCCCTAATTATCCCCATCACCAACCTCTCATCCACAACACAACCTCCACACAGCCCCAGCAAAAAAGAAACTTAAGGAAAAAAGAGAGAGAGAGAGAGAGAATATACTTCATCGGTTCCACAAATACTCAACAATGATGAAATTACGCATTCCAAAGCACAATTTATATGTTAGATATCTATAATTATATAAGAGTAAAAATTATAAAAAGTTGATATTGTGAAAGTATTTTACGAGACGAAACTAACAAGACCCCAGATGACTATATTTTACTTTACGTATAAATCATAATTTGTGGTCAAACAAGCATGATGAATAGTGCAAAAGTCTAGTTGTTGCATCTTTAGTAGAACGGAGGAAGTATATATTAGAAGGCAGACAGTCAAATAAAGATCCCCATAACTTAAAATGAGCACTATTGCTTGAAGTCTTGAACTTGTCTTTAGTTTCTTATGAATTTGTGGACCAACCTATTTTTTGACAGCATAGGAGCAAAATTACATGAAAGAAACCTAACAGAGTATGCTTCATGTTTCTAGAGTAACAGCTTTCAGTTCCAAACTTTTACAAACTCCAACAAATAACAAAGAAAGGCTAAACTTTTAGAAGTAATTGCTCACCTTGCAAAGTGTACGACCAGATGCCAAATGCAGAGCTTCAATGCCCTCTTTTTCATGGGCCACAACAACATTAGGCACCCACCAAAGTTGTGTGAGGTTTGTTATTGTGGGTACGTATGGCATTGCCTGATACAAAAAATTATGTATATCATACAGTGAACACAAAAGAAACTCATCATGTTGAGAAACAGAAAAGGAATCACAGCCACCCACAACTGAGCAATCAACTAGCACTCAGAAGATCCAATCAGAGGATGTCCAAATTCACACGCATAAAAAGGTAACTTTATGAGCAAAATCCCCCAAGAATCATTTCTAAAGTACTGTTATAACCCTGAACACATCTTGACCTTTTCTTGATGAATTACAATTTCAAATGCCTAAAATATGGTTCTGTTGTGAAGGTCATAACAAAATTACCTGTCATAATTAAATGACACTGCAGTAGTATTGACATATACTTTCTCCGTTTCTCAATACATGCAACAAGTTGACTTTAAAAGAGTGTACAATTAAGTCAACTTGTTGCATGTATTTAGGAACGGAAGGAGCATTCAAGTATAATTTGCACAGAAAAATGGATAGATTTTCATGGAATTATTTTTCTCAAATAGTTGCCTACTGAGATAATGACCTCACTTCACACTTCACACTTCACAGCATATCCTAATTAAGTCGAGTTCAGAAAAGACAGCAAAAGTAAGATCACCATATCAAAAATTTATCAATTAACGATATAGTACATGAATCACCTTATTTTTTTTAGATGAGCCAGCATAGTTTGCAGCTTTCCCAATCATGTTTGAAATCTTTTTAGTTGAATCCTTTCCTGGAGGATGATGTTCTTCAGGCTTGTGGAAAGGATAGTTAGTTTTTTTTCCAGACAGCTTCTTTAGTGTCTTCCTCTTGTGCCGTCGGAAATGGGCCAACTGAAAACTAGTATCTTCCCGCCTATCCTGTTATTAAACTCGAATCAATCAATAGTCAGTAGAAATCAAAATACATACTCGTGTGTGTGTGTGTGTTTGGGGAGGGGGTGGGGGGGCGGTGGCGTAATACAGCTTACCCAATGATGTGGCATTACTCCCAGGATAGATTCTCTAAATTCTCTGCACTCAAACTGCAGGGTAGGAAGTTTAAGTGAGCTACTGTTTGGCAAAAACATCTATACACTATACAGCATACATAACAAACAAAAAGTAGCACAATTATAGAAGAAATCTCAGTAATAATAAAATACAGCATCTTGATGCCTTAGTTTTAACAAACAAAGGTTGGACAAAATGTTAATTTAAACAGTATTTAGCTTGAGAGTGAACAGGAAAAAAATGGTTTTCCAAAACTGTATTGGAATTGAACAAATTCCAAAATTGGTCAGTGAACTTTTTTTCCAAGAATAATGTCTGTGTAATTGTACTATTAGGAAACCCAAATCTTTCTTTCCGTGTTGGAACAAAGTAGCTAAAATACTTCGCATCTGCTTTGAAGTCACTAAGGTACTTGGCCAGCTTTATAAGGCATTAGGTTTAGCCTCGTGATGATCTAGTCTATTAGCCTACATAGACAATCGTGGGGATTTTCTTTTTGAAGATTCCAGAGTCAAAATTTCTTAATCTGGACTCTGAAAAGTCTGAAGTGAGGATTTTTTTTTTTCCACCATTTTTTTTTTCCTTTTTGCTTCAAATTCCATTTTGGAAAATCGTTCAATAAAACAAAGTTCTAAGCCCAATATGATTTCAACTATCAACATCGAAGCAGACTATCAGCCAATCTTATTCTACAGCAACTCATCCAGGGTGCTTTATAAATCTGGGGGGTAATTAAAAAAAAGGCAGATAATCTTGACATAGAACTCCACAGACCAACAAAAGTAACCATAATAATACAGTTACAATCTCAGGAAAATATAAAAAGATTGTGACACTTGGACAGTTCAACAAAATAATGGTCATGTCTCGTGATCTCACCTCTCCAGGATGACGACTGTGTAAAGAATGAGCATCAAGCTTGTAATTATGTTGTGGAATTAACATGGATGCATCTGGGGATTGCGCTTCAATTTTCTTCAAACACAACAAGGGTTGTTAATATATGGAAGTCAATACATAGGTACAGCTACAGTCTATATCCATACAATAGAAGTCACATACATGCTAAGTAATTTTACAAGAATTATACACATCCTAAAATTGCACGCAATGAAATAGCATAGAATTCCATGGGGGAAACACCAGGAAATGCTAAATATTATGAACTTTCCATTATTTGCAATACCCAACAGCAAAGACATAAAAGACCCACAATGTGCTATTATTTCTCAACAATAATAATAATAACAATGGGGTCAATCGACTCTTTCCTCTCAAATTCCTGACAGGAGCACAGGACACAAAGAGACCCTGAATAAAGGAAGATGTGATTATCTAGAAATATTATTATCTGTCACAACTCACAAGGTATTGGGACTTGGCAACCACTAGCTTGCCAAATGTCCAGATCTTTTCTAAAAGAACAAGAACAAAAACATATTTTAGAAACATGGAAACAATAATATACATGATTGATAATACAGCTAATTATGATAAAAAAAAAAAAAAAAAAAAAAAATATTGACATATTAGAATAAAACAGAAAAAGTTATGTAAACTAAGAATTTAAGTAGTTGACATTAATAGGTACATACAATCTCACCATAATAAGTATGCTTCGATTGAAATCCAATACGTACTATATAAACAAATTCTTTTAATTCAAGGCAGGACACAAACCAAGCACATTAATGATGTACAGGCAGTACATCACTGTGGATCACTGTAACATGTAAAAGCAAGATTTTTTACTAAGGTAAATCACATCAGATGCTTTCTCCACATTGGTGCAGTGTATAAGTAATTACATGCAGTAAAGAGATTGCAGGGTGGACAGGGGGTATAACTCCATCACACACAAATGCATTACACACAGAGAAAGGACAAACCTCATTCTTTCTACTCCATCGGCGCTGGCCACTTTTACCCGCAAATGCATAAAATGCAAAGTGCCGCAAATCCACTACTTCATTGTTCTCCACAGACTGAGAGGGCATAAACAACAATTTTAAACTTGAATTTGAAATAATATTACATAAAAGGAAGACTAATTATCTTCAAAGGTTTGATGATCAGATTAAGATAATTTTAGTTCAAATACTCGATTCAAGCAAATGTTAACTAGAGGATATAAAGCAGAATATTATAGCACAGCAGCCAAAAACAGCAGTCTTTGTATCACTGTCTTAGAAGATAATCCAGATTTTTTAGGGAGCCTTGAACCATAAACATAAGCAGCGCGGAAAAAATGCAATATGGTAAGTATAATAAGAAAGACCAATAATTGACATGTGTGACTCTACTAGGCCTTGAGTGTGACTTATGACACACAAAAAACTGACACAAGCCATATGAAGCTCTGGTCATTTAGATGATTTTGAGTTAAAGAGTATGAGTATGTGTGCACACGCACGCAAGCGTTTAGGAGTAGGACAGACAGCACCCATGTCAAGGTTTTCAGCAGAATATTGTAAAAGAGAAGGATCACATGACAGGAAGAACCCAACTGTTGAAAAAATAATACAATTTCACTAACTAATACATCATGTTGTATTTATAATTTTATACACACCTTAGTCCAACCGGTGGGGTATATATTCTTAACAAGGGGTATTCCATTGGACAAGGATCAAAAAAGAAAATTCTAAATTGCAGTGAGTCATGCTTATGCTATTATACCTCAGTTTCACCTGCACTTCTCCTATGCTGTTCTGCATTCTTCTCAGCCATACCCATCTCCTCAAAAGGATCTAAAAAAATCTGCAGCCAATTTTACAGCACACAATTTAACATTTTGATATCAGACACAATAAGATCAGCTTTTGTAAGATAATTTGACAAAGGATGACACATTGACTTGATTAACAAAACAGATAACATATAGAAAACATCCATAAGATCAGCTTTTGTAAGATAATTTGACGCGCCTGAAGCATGGGCACAACTGCACAAGCCAAGCACAAGTCAATGCTATGCAATGAGTCATGCTCGGACAACTTTTATTGTCTGAGCAGCACAGCGTGGTCCATGAAACAAATACTGAAAGGAGAAGGCACAATTTTAGCTCACACTCCTGCCTGTGGCACAAAAAGGCAAAAATGTGGCCAATATGTAATTTACTTTAATCAATAAAGAAGGAGTATAGCATAGAGTATTAGTAATTTACTTGAATCAGAGAAATTATCATAATTATTGGTAACAAATTTGCAACCGAACACTTATCGTAGAATTGAACTGCATTTGATTAAGATTTGGTGGTTCATTATAAAAAAAAGGGTCTTAATGATCCTTTATAAAAAGGGGGCCATTACTGGCAAAACAAGGAATTACCAGGGTCATGGGACTGTCTGACATTCTGGCCTTAATGGCAACCCATAAATCCACTACACAAACCACTAGGCCCAATGAATTGTGCAAAATGACCTCAAATACACTAGGCAAGGCTAGTACCATACCAAAAACAATCAATGAGAAAAACTCTAAATTACAATTTGGAATCTTTCTTGCAGTAACAAGATCTCATAACCTACAACAACAAAGTCTTAGTCTCATAACCTACAAGAATATATATATATATATATATATATATATATATATATATATACAAGGCCACCCTCTAACTAGGGGCAAAACATATACTTCCTTCGCTAAGGATCTAGGATTTGTTCATTGGGCGGGTCGTACCCTATAAGTTTTTCAAAAGAATTGGAGGGAAAAGGCAAAAAAAAAATGATGCCAACAAGAATTGAACACGCCACTTATAGGATCTCACTTGAATGTTTATGCATTCATGTAAAAACCAACTTAGCCATTGCATTTTTATATCATATAGCACAGCAATATAGTATACATATTTTTAAAAACTTTTACTCATGGGGCGGGCCCCCTAGATTCATCATTTGACACATTTTTATTTAGGGCACTATTCAATAACTCACTTGGACTTTGTTTTGTGATTTATACTTAAATATAAACATAGTCATGTGAGGTCTTGTTAAACTCATCTCAATGTATGATTTCCAAATATAATTTTTTTTTCTTATTAACAGTAGAAGATATTAATGTTTGAAGTTATGAGTTAGCACGTGGCTAAAAAAATGTGCCAACTAAAATAAAATGGGGGATTTACAATAGTAACATTTACTGATTAGCTAGATTATAATTTTGAATTCCCTTCCACCCCCCCCCCCAAAAAAAAAAAAAAAAAAAAAAAACACACACACACACACCTAGGCAATAGTAAGGATATTCAGAGTATGCCTAGAAAAATTGTTTTTGAAGAGTCGGGCAGTGAGCAAAGAGTACCATTCAACCAGGTTTGGAGATGAGATTTTGGTTGGCTGCTGATCTAAGTTGTTATGAATGCGCTGTATATAGGATCCATGCAACCAGCACAAGAAGTGCACAACATGCACTGGGGAGTACGGCGGAGGGGTACAACCAGCATCAAATGCTGATTTAAGGAATTGATTTGTTGCATCGGTGTGCAGCATTAAGCACGTATGAACCACTTCCAAGTGAACACTTTGCGTGCAGTTGAACACCAACAATCTCTTGGTTTAATAGATAAAATTTTAGGATGCTCATATAAGAAGCTAGTTTTTGACAGGATTTACCAATATATCAGCTTAATGGTTGCTCATTTACTTATGTGCTTATGAAGAAATTTTTAGTTTCATTTAGTTCATTAGTGTGGACGAAGATCCCTTTGACCGAACCACACAAATCCCTTGAGTTCATCTTCTTTTATCCTATTCTTATCCTATTCTTAATTTTTGTTCAATGTAGCTGCTGTCTTAGTTTATTAAAATTAAACACAAATCCAATCCAATCATAGCACAAGTTTCACCCTTTCCTCTCACAATAAGTAAATTCAAGAATGATAATCAGAGGCAATCTACATGTATTGAATGCAGGGGGGAAAAAACAATGACAAATTGCAGAATGCAGTTTTCAGTCCATAGCAAAGTGAATCGACCAAGCAAAAAGTAAGACGCATTCGTTATGCAACAGTTGATAATAAAATCATACATACATGAGGTTGCACTTCCATCCTTCCACCAACAATAATCAGTCCAGTATCTCCATGCTTGATAGTATAATTGCTTATTGAAATTGCAACCTCTCTGTGGAGAGCATTATGAGGAAAATCTTCCTGAGCACAAAGCAAGCAATGAATAAGATTCGATAACAAGCCTTTGACAATGTTTAGGAGAATGAACCCACAAACCTGTAAATTAGCCTCCCATAACTTTTTAAGATTATGGTCAAAACACATGACAGACCATCCTGATGTCACTACCACCAAAACCTGCTTACGTGGCTGCCCTTTGCGGTAGTTTCGATCGATAACACCAGTTGCCATAGCAACAGCGCGCCTCCCAGAGGCAACACGGACTTTGTCAGGCAACAATGTAACCTCAGCAAGAACACGCGCTTCACTAAATCCTTCATCAGCACGACTAGCATGCGGCTCCAGCACCTAAATATAGAAATGCATGCATTGGTAAAGCAATCCATTCAACTCCAAATCAACACTCTTAAAAAAGAAAAAAAAAAAAAAAAAAAAAAGAAGAACAGAAAACCTGAATTTTAGCATCATGGGTGGCAACGAGGACCTCAATCTTGCCATCACCGTTGAGATCGGCGACGATAGGCGGAGGAAGGCGATCGGCTTCGTATTTGATGGGGTAATCATCCAACAGATGAAACCAAGCCTCCCTAAACGACAAGTCTCCCTCATGCTATTCCAGAGAAAATTAGGTCAATTCAATTGTAATAATAGGTTCGAATTGAAATTAGAGATGAGAAAGTCTAGGGTTTATGAAACCTGGAGAGAGAAAAAAATGGCGAAAGCAGCGAGCATGAGAATGGCCAAATCGCGCTTCCTCATCTCTGTGGATACAGCTTCCTCCTTGAGTGATCACTGATCAGTGCCTCCTTTGCCTTCTCGATTATTTTTCGCACTTGCACAATTACAGATTTGGGGGGAAGAAATCGAAAATTAACTTCCTCCCTCGTTAAATAACGTTTTTTTTTTTCCTGTGTTAGGGGTAGCAAATCAAATACTCTACGAGGCAATTTTTTTAATTGTTCTGTTTAGATTTTGCATTTATTTACTTTAACATTAATTTTTATTTCTTCGGTATTTGCAAAGAAATCCATTGGGGTACTTCTGTAGTTAAAATGTTAAATCTTGCTTCATTCACGTTATATTACTCAGTAGATGACACATTACTTTGGAGACACGTTTGTTAGTGCATCAATTAGTAGCTTAACAAAATACTATCAAAGTCAAAATATGTCAATTAATAAAAACAGAGAAAATATGTTCTATAAATCATATCATGAACAAAGTTGAATCAGTTTCAACCAACAATCCACCATAAAAATACGAGTACTATACTTGCATAGGAAATGATATGATACACACTCAACGCCCATTCAATTCGTCAACAATTTGCAGTTTTGTATAGTTTATTATTAACCCCGAAAACTCATTTGAGTGAAAGAGGTAAGATTTCTCTTTTGAGTAACAGGAATTATGTCATAAAAATTATTATTATTAGTGTTTCCTAATTAGTATAATTCAAACGAAACAAGATAACAGTGGTAAGTGATATTAGATCTCAAACTTTGCTGAAGTATAATTCCTGAAGCTTAATTGCTTCATTAGACCTTCGATATCAATAAATGCCCCTTTCTACAACTACATTAAATGAACTAAACACTTACAAAGGCATATACAATAGTTCAGAACTCATATTTCCCACATCCCACAGTAGTCATATTTACAAGATTTGGCGCTTGACATTTTTCCACAATACCCACAACCTTCCACAGAAATCTTGGATGCCGCAAAGCAAAGTGAGATTCACATTAGAGTAGTTCTGAAGGAAGATACAGCTTGGCTTAGATTACATCCATGCCTGCATGGATTGAATTAAGCTTAATACATATAATAAGTTACCAGTTTGATTTACAAAACAACCCCTAGATCATAACAATGGAAACACGCAGTGCATCCCATAGATTTCAAGGTCATGAACAGATATCATGTAGTGCTTACAGTGTCTTGCTTCCGTTCACCTTCTCCGGCTACCATCATATCAGCTAGACGACTCTGAATTTCCCAATCAAACATGCCCTGCCTGCTGCATCAGACTATGCTGTTTCTTCCGACTTTCCAGGTATGCTGCAAGTTGTGCACATTTTTTCCTTGTTTCTTCCAACTCCTTCTCTAGTTTGTTGACCTGTAAAGCCAGTGATACAAAATGCATGTTACAATATCCGAATTTAACAACATAGTGGACAGGGTAACTTAACAGGTTGTTATGTTAACATACCGTCTGTTTTAGCTCATGCTCTTTCTGCCCATGTTCTTCACACCTGCACAAAATATCAAACTTCTTTATTTCCTATAACTGTGTGCCTTTCCTATTCATACCATCCATAGAACATTCTACATCATCAAAGATAGGATTATGCAGTTGGGAAAGAGTAATTTAAATTAAGTGGAGGGCCTGTCTGTAACCGAAGTCCCACTTTGGCAAGGTCTGGAGGCTAGTGGACTTATAATCAGACAACATATTACGAATGACATCAAACTTTTCTTCCTGTTCTCTTTCAGATAAAGTACTATAGATTCATTAAACAATAATCTGGCATTACAACGGTCAGCCGGTCACACTGAATCAAAACCAAAGTCACTTTAGTCCAGTTCTACCCACAAGTAAGCTGCAAGTAAACAAAGTACCTGTACTATAGTCGCCTATTTGGCTTAATGTTAAAATTAGCAAGTCCATATTTCATTTTTAAAAAAAATAAAAATAAATAACAAACTCTTTTTTGTCTTTATAACTTTTTATTTTCCAATACAATACATTCTACACTACTTTTCCTTTTTGCTACACCATGGCTTAATTAATCAAACAATTGATAGTAAAGAGAAAAGACAAAATATGACTTCAACCATAAAAGCTAATTTTATACATGATAAAATTACACGACTTCTATTATCACATAAACATTATATTTATTTCATATCAAACAAATAAGTTTATATATATATCTGAACAGTTATTTAATTTTCAGCAAACCCCAATAAGTGAAGCTTTCTTTTAAATGATTCATTTGCACACGAAAACACACAATTAAGATTAGATTGCCTAGCATTCCAATTGCATAAAAGATACATTTCTATTCTAAGCAGAAAAGGTGATAAATGATTGAGTTATGCAGCAGATTATCATAATGAAACTCTTCATGATGTCTGAAGAAGGTAGGGTATAAACAAACAATAGAGAGGCCAAATGAAGCAACCTACCTTGCAAATAATTGAATATTCTCTTCACAAATTTGTTCAATAGATAAAGAGGCTATAGAATCATCCACTGCTTCATCCTACAAATATCATAACCTCTTTAAATGACAGAAAGAAACAATTACGATTTAATAGCAAAAATCTGGATTAGACAAACACAAGTGCATCCATATACACCATCTGCTCGGAAAATTCAGTGTGTATTTGTGTAATCAGCATTAATTAGGTTCTGAGCAGTCAATCAGACATGATTTGGTTCCTCTAACAAGAAGTTTTGACTTCAAATAGTTTTAGAGAATGAAATTGATCAGAATGCAAACCCGTTTACCAGGTGCACTTAAATGAATCAGATATGGGCAATAGTTATCAAAAACAGCAGCTGAGCTTACCTCTTATAGAGCTATATCCCTTGCGAAGAAAAAATATGCAAAGGAACTCTGACATAAATGCTTATTTCCACACATAAAGGATGTAATGCATCAATAGAACTTAAGCAGATATAACCAATATATATACTTGGAGAGCAGAGAAAATTATATCCAGCCCAAGAAGTTTCTAAGAATCAAACCTAAGAGCAAAAACACGGTAGGTACTATCCTACCAGTATTAAACCTAATCCCTTCTAAATTTGTTTACAATTTCTTAACATTGTCAATTTGTCATTTGTCATGAAGAGATCAAGCAGCATCCAGGTACATTTAAGGCTTCCTAGTGCATGTCAGCAATCAGATATGTCTATTCATGCAATCCAAGCATAGCTAATTATTACAATTTAAAATAATAAATTAATACCATCTCCGTCACTGAAAGTTCTTTACACTATTCTTTTTAGTTCGTTACAGAAAGCACTTTACACTTTTGCTTTATTCTATATATGGCAAACCTCATTTACTATCTTATCCTTCTTACACCCACAATATTTACACATTATGACTCTCTCCTCTCCCTGATCTTTCAGCAATAAAAGCCCTCCCTGCAAACTACCAGCTCACTTGACAAGCTTTGCTTTATTACAAATCTCTCCCAATGATCATACTGACATCCAGCCTCACCCAACTTGGACAAATTCACCACAAAGTCAAAAACATCTCTGAGGTTCATGCAATATTGCTAATTTGCTACATGGAAAAGTTAAATTACAGCATCTTAGAGATGCCACTCACTCCCACCAGCAAAATCCAAAAATGAGAAATCTTCTCTAGTTAAAAAGCAACAACAATTAGATGGCCCTTGGTTGATGATTCTGCCCTCATGCCGTATCTAGATTAAGCCTCAAAAACTCTAAACACCTATCAACAAAAAACTTGATCACATGAGGACATCATCGTAAAGGTAATATATCTAATTTTATCTTTTGCTGACAACAGACATTAAAGAATCCTTAGACTAAAGTCTGTACTTTGTAGCGCTTCCAGAAAATGGGGGAAATGGGAATAGATCACTAGGGGTGTCTAGGAGGCAGCCTTTGAACTATACACATTGCATACTATTGTTGCATATGAATAAGTGTCGACTCTTGCTGTTTGAAGGTGTAAGAAGGATATGGTTGAAACTGCTACTATTGTAATTTCAAATTAATGATATATTTGGTCCATACCATACATATACAACACAAGGGTTAGAAAGAAAGCCAAATTGGGAAAGAACAAGAAAGAGGCACAAACTGAACCAAGCCTAAGCTCAACATTCTCAAGCTCACTGACACCAAGATCCCTGATATGATGAAATCACACAAATATAGAAATCGCAATTATTGAGGCCAAGCCATTTTAATCCAAGGTGCATTTCAGATCTATCAAGATTAACCTTCAGTTTGCCCATCCACGCCCAAAGACGGGAACAAACATAAGTAAAGTCAAGAATACTTACAGTAGAGAGCTCAACAACAGACTGTTCAGTAGATGAATTTTCTTGGTAACTTCTTCTAGATCCAGGAGAAGGACCAACAAAGGGTCGATTTGAAGTGAATCCTTCTTGAAATCCAGTTCCAGTTGTTGGAAGTTTATCCGCTCGGTCATCAATATGAGATAATTTTTTTAGCTTAGCAGGAGGCTGATCACGACGCTGGAATCCAACAAAATGACAATGGCTTTTCCTGTGCCATGCATGAGATTAAAGTAAGTGTCAACCTAATCACTACTGCATTAGAAACTATAGAATTGAACAAAAACTTACAACCCTCTTTATCTGCAAGACTTTAAATCCACACTAATGATAACCAAATTAATGAATATTCAGGCACAGGTAGGCAGTATACATAGTGTATATGGCCAATATATACAGATATCTAAATAAGCAGACAAATTGTCTGAGTGGAACAAACCAGTAATCAAAAACCATTTGCTTCATCCTTGTTTCCAGCCGAATAAACAGTGATGATCTCTCGAAATCCTGCTTGTCATGTGCTGGTTCTATAAAATTTGCTTCAAGAACACCTAAATAAAAGCACTGAAATAAGAAATTTGTACCTAAACAAAGAGGAATCATAGGCAAATTACATTTCCAAAAAAAAAAAAAAGTATAAGTCAACATACCAACAACACCATTCCCCACAGAACTACCATCACGTGAGACCTTCCAGAAAGGCTGCAACCAAAAGTAATTCAAGTAAGCACGTCGCAATGAATTTGTATGCATATGTACATGGTAGATACACGGATAAAATTGCAGAACTAGCAGAAAGCAAGGGAAAAAAAGGCAACCAACTGAAATTTGAATTCAAATTGGATTTTTTATTTTTTTGGAAAGAAAAAAAAAGAGCATATTTGTGAATCATATATACATCTACAATAAGTTATTACATAAGAAGAGTTCAATGACCTAAATAGAATATAATAGCAGCTCCAATTTTTTAATGTCAGAAAGTGAATTAAGATGAACAAACGCATGGAAATCATATGTAAATGTCAAAATAATTGGATGTAATTTACTGAGGTCTTCGAAAGGATTACATAGCTTGCTTAAATATAATTACAGAGGTAGTAAAAAATAAATACAGCAGGAAAGAATGAATATCAAGAACGTACAGAGCTAAGAGCTTTACGTGAATCCAATTAATATGAGCTACTTCAATACTTCCACCATTCCCAAATATTCACATAAGCTTCATTTAAGGTTATACAGAATATACACAAATACCAAGTAATCCTTAGTTATTGCATTGGTACTGAATTTAACGTGTTTTGAACAAATGTAAATATGATATTAAGTACCACCCTAAATCCTTGATACGATGTGTTTTTGAAAGGTTACTAAGTGAGCAAATAACTTTAGATAAAAAAGCATATTTTACTGAATGACAAAACAAGGTACAAAAGCAAGCAAACCAACAAATCAGCCGATAGAATTAAGTCACTAGAAGCTGAAACCACCATGTGCAACAAGGACTGTAAAAAAGCATGTATCATAACTTCATACGCATCTAACAGACAAAGTAAGAACAATCCGGCATACCCTTATGAGGCGATTTTTATGGTACACATTGAACCCAGAGACATTAAGATCTGGAGCTTCTTTTATAAATCCAATGGTGGTTTTAACTAAAACCTAGTAGACAGGAAAATAGCACAATAGTTAGTACAGGAAAATATATAGTATAAAATTAGAATGTAGAAGAAAACACACTCATCAATCCTCATTCAAGCAAGAATCACATGATTAACAACACCATTCAGTTCAATTTTATGAACAGTGTTAATATATGCCGACAAATAAAATGCAGAATAATTGAAGTGGTACAGCCAAAATGCTACTATACGGAGATTGGCCTTTAAATGTGGGAGTAATAATCGATAATATAATAATGTAATTAAATAAAAAGAGGGAGACAGTTGAAGGAGCATCAGTCATTTACTAGGCCAATAAACAAAAAAAATTCTGTATTGGGTAATTGTTCTTAAAATAATAAAAAATGACTTTCCATTAAAGATATTTTTTTATTCTGCCAAATTAATTTACAAACACCTTCTACCATCTTACCTTCCCCTCCCCCACCCCCCACCCCAAAAAAAAAAAATATATATATATATATATAATACCTTTTCGCTCGCTTTTTGTATCCACCTTTTTCTTACACCTACCAACCTTGTAACTCCATTTCTCTTAACCTTTTTCTTACACCCAACCACCTTATTTATGTTTTCTTTGATTTGCGAATCTAAGTGAGTAGAGCAGAAAATTAGAGTGCAAGGAATCAATATTTAGGGGAGGGCATGTTAGTCATAGTCTATTAGTAGTAACTTGGGAAATAAGCTAGAGGTTTGTTAGGAGGGATTTTCTATAAATAGGCCTCATTAGGAAGAATAAGGATATGTTGAATATTGAGTGGTTTGTTATTGGGAGAGAGTGAGCCTCTCGAAAGCTCATATTTAGGAGAGAATCCACCTCTCAAAAGTGGAATTATCATTCAATCTAGTGTAATCCTCATCTTAATACTATAATCATCATTTTTCTTCTTATTTTCAGCCATTGTTAGTGCTGGAAATTATGTCAGTTCCTAGCATAGAGGTGGTAAATTTTTCTCAAAAGCTTACATACAATGGGTCTACCCACAAATATTTCTTAAACTATGAGTATTTTTATTATTGTTATTGTTAACAGTCATTGGCCCACTAGTACTACATACATTAGCAAAAACACAATATTATATCAATTGTAAGTAAATGGACACATCAATGCACATTTCCACCATGTCTCCCTTCCTACAATATATTACCTTGACTATTGAGCCGTAAGAACATGAAATTTCTGCAATTTTAGAACATAAGATAATTTCTTTACCTCATTAGACGTTGCAGCAAGCTGTGGCTTATAGGTCACCACTTGTTTATATTGGAGCTCATCTGCAATATTGAATTGCTCTGCAGGTTTACCCCTCAGCACAATCTTGAAGTTCTTGAACTTCCTTAGGTACAAAACAGAAGAATAGGCCTACAAAAAAATTTCATATTTGAGTTACATTAGACCAGCATGCACTTGGATAGCAAATAGTAAACAAAAATGAATTAGAGTAAACAGCAAGTGTAAGTGAAAAGAGAGGCACCCGCAACGAATAGCGGAGGCGATATGAGATGTGTGATTGCAATTCAAGTGTTCGTTTGTTTACTTTCAGCCCACTCACTCGACTAGCTTCATCCCTTAGCTTTATGTCCTATACGATAATGAATAGGTTAAAGCCGCATATCATTTAAAAAAAAAATCAAAAGATTCATTAGATCCGGGGGAGGGAAAAAAAAAAACACAAACAAATTGTTACTCCAAATCTTAATTAAAATAAAACTAATTAAACGTTAATGAAAGGTGACTGACAATCAGTAGAACCAAATATAAAAGACAAACAAGATTAAAAAAAATGGTTGCGGAAGCAGAATTAAAACAACAAAATAGCGCTATATTAAGAGCAAATAAGCCCGGAACCTAGCTTCATACAAACTGACACGCTCACACAAAAGCACATTTTTCATAATGAGAAACTGGCCAGCATATCAGGTGCTTTTTTTAGGTTTCGTTGCTTTACCAAGCATTTTAAGAGGCTAAAATCCCTGTGCTCAACAACATTTCAGATATTTGCACTTTTTTACATTTACAGATAATATAGAGAAGGTTAACCTTATGTGGGTTTGTTTAATCTTTTTAAAACCAAACAGTAACAAAGAAAAATACAAGAAAGTAGGATGATGAATTTTCATTAAACTCAATTCCTTGCAAGAATAATCTATTCAATTATATTGAACAAAAAAATCACAAAAGACTCCTCTCTACCAAGCTCTCTTTTCATAACAAAGAACATAACATCACACTAATAAGTAATCTCTTCCTTGTAATATGACCGTCAACAATACCCCAAGGCCTCCTGAAGAATCCTGCCAAGGGCGAAGGGGTTATATTGTGCTCCACAAAGATTATTCATCACTTCATAAGTTCATTATATATATATTGGGGGGGGGGGGGGGGGGGGGTTGTTACTCCCTGAAACGTACCTCATTATCATCGTCAAAACTCAGTTCATATATGCCTTCATCATTCAGCCAAAGATTGTATACTATAACTTTTGTTCCATGAGGTCCAATATCCTCAAACTGCAAAGCACAAAATGAGTATTGGAAAATTTTAAGCTAATAATATCCAGCAACAAAGAGTATATCTCTGACACTCAGAACGTTTCAGTTTTCAGTTCAGTAAAAAAAAGATTATTAAGCAAGAAATATGATACATCAGCATTCAATAGTCAAACTAACCTGCATCATAAGTTCCTCCTTTGTAGCAAAGGGAGACCACTCAAGGATGGTTTTCAAGTTTGTTGTCCAATCACTATGTGAGCTGTAGATTATCGGCTCTGCCCAATGGTTAGAAATGTCAAAATCGACCTGCAGATTATAGTCATGATACAAGGTAAATAACAAACTTCCAGATAAGAAAACCAGAAGAGAAAACCATAATGCTCAATGGAATATATTTAATTGTTTTAGAAAACAATAAGTACCATTGGGACAATGACATCATCTTGTCCAGTCAACCGTAAGAAAGTGTAAGACAGTAGACCAACACTTTGTGTAGCACGCCTGAAAGTACCAACGAAAAGAATTGGAATTGAATCGCAAAGCAGCAACTGACTTTTACACACCAAGAAAAGGAAAACTAATAATCTTCTGTGAACAAGCTAAAGAATATGCTACAGGTAAGTATTCAACATAAACTTATATCAATACAATGCACATAAAGGCTAGCAGGGCATGTTTTAGTTCATCAACAATCCTTTAAAATATATATTTGAAGTAACAAGAAGAATATAGACATTTTTGGTCCGCATTTACAATTGAAGGGAGAAATGAAGAGAGTTATATGCAGAGCAACTAGGCTTTTAAGGGTTTGAAGAGCTTGGGGATTAGAGGGAGGAGAAGATGGCCTTGCTAAGCCTAAATTTATGCAGCCATTTCTAGATAAGTTGAGTGAAGCTTTCAAGTTGAAATTCAGATGTATATACGGTTTCATCCCTGTTTTCTCTAGGCTAGTGTACATGATGAGAAAAACACTACTTTGAGTTTTTAAAAGCCCAGTTAAATCTATAAAAGCATTATTGTTGTGTTTTATGAACTATTGAAGTCTGCTTATCCTTGATTAGATATCCATATAATATGATTTAGGCTTGAAAAGGTCATTTTCTTCTCTCCCCTCTTTGTTCACCCAATTTCTTCAAACCTTGTGTCCCATAAATCCAACCTCTCTATGTGAAATTTCTCCCTTCACTTATGCAGAGCAAGAGGAGAAGTAAGGATATAAAAAAGAGGAGGCAATACATAGAAATGAGTAGAAAACAAGAAAATTAGGGAGCAAAAGCAGGACATAAATTTATAACACCAAAAGCTACAAATGAGCAGAAGGGAAAATTACCCTGAACGTGTCGAACGACTTAAAACAATTACATCAGCACCCAGACGCATCGTACTTGTCTTGAATCCATTTCCATCTGAAAGCAACCCATGGATCATTTAACAACAGGAAGAAGTACAAGACATTGGAAAAATAAGGAAGTGCAATCAGTGCATAGGGGACAAAAGCAAGGGTGTGGACTCTGTGGAGTTGTAATTATAGTAACTTGCAAACATTGCTGCAAGAGCTTTATAATAAAGTTTTCACAAAACATTTTACATCCAAACTAGAAACAAATTCCATGAAATTTTGTATAGGTATTGGCTGAACAAAGTGCGGGGAATGAAAAATATACCACTGCGTAAAAGTAAAACCGCCAATCAAAAAAATTTATAAATTATAAAAAAGAAAAGGTGCATGAAGCTTCATATGTTTAGTGCAACTGCCTGGAAGTAGGATGTACGCAGCCAACAGCCTTAACCCAAAGGGGAAAATTATAAATGGGCCAAGGTATACCATCGCACCCCACCCCCTAAACCCTAAGTAAAATAACCATTGGAATAATCAATCATTCTTATTCTTCTGGCTATCTGGCTCATTGGTTGAGATTGAACAACAAGATGTAGGTGCCGAGTGCCCAATGAGTTATGCTGGTTCAGCTATTTAAATTTCTGTTCACTTTCTATACTCACCCCCCCCCCCACCCACCCACACACATAGGGAGGAGGGGGTAAAGGGGTTTACTACCTCTTGCTGTCAAACCACATCAGAAAGCTATCTAGTTTTCTGTATCTTTAAAGAGAACACCTAATCACCAATAAAGACAGCTATTTTTATAAACAAAGGCGAGAATTATTTCACACTAGGAATTATTCAAATTCAAGAGTAATAAAAGTTAACTTTCAAGACTTTCAAGCTCTAACCAAATAACATGATTGGATAATCACTTCTACGTTCTACATGTAGATAATAGAAATGAAAACTCTTCATATCCTGTAAGGGGAAAAAACTATGCCGACTTTAGAGCAAATGTTCATGAACGTAAAACCAATAAAAAATTATAGAAACATATACATAAAAACTTACATTGCCCAATTGTAGTATTTGATTTCTTTGACGAGTAACCCAAGCTCATACATTTTCTTATTCCATCTGGATCCATTCCACCACCATCATCTGTACACAACTCAGACATCTTAACATATACAGTGGTATTAATGATAATATCTTGTATTAGTCTGAACAGTGAACATGTGAAGTTCACATATTCCAATAGAATAAGACAATTGATACAATGTAGTACCTTGGAAAAGTAACGCAGGAGAATTGTCCTTCACATTTAGAACTTTATCAACTTTCACATATGTAGCACCATTTTGTATCTAAAACCACAAGCAAGAAATAAAACAAATAAGCAAATAAGCTGAAGCCATTGAAGTAGTTAATAGTTAAACAAACCTCACAACTTATCGAGAAATGCATTAAAGATTTTTGAATATATACATCACAGTCAAGACTTACCAAACTACGGACTAGAAAATGACCTCAAGTTACTAAATACATGTAGGCAAGTCCTTTACCTTTTCAACAAGTGTCTAGTGACTCTAGTCAAATCACAAATAGTCAAATAGTATGAGTACTGGGGTCTGAGCAACAAAGACGGTGACATGCCTAGGTGACGTTTTCTGCTACCATACTGTCACCAATAAACACAAATGAGACGTGTATATTATCTATATATTGGTTTTGATTAATTAACTCAATTAATTAAAACCAATGTAATAGTGAGATGCCTAGGTGACAGCTTTCAATACCCTCTTACTTAACATTAAGTATATCTATATTTGTTGCTACATTGTAAAATTTGGGTGCAGACACCACCGTGTTATCCAAATGATAACTCTTAGTTCAGGGACCAAATATAAGAGCCTGAGTAAGTGTGTAAATCAATTTGTTCTATCAGATGTCACAGAAGCATACTTGCATAGACAATTAGAGCATACACATTTAGAGCATTGACTATCACACATTCAAAAGCAAACCATGGCAACAAACCAATAAAAATCTATAATTCTCCAAAATCAGACCCGTTGCTTTATCAACCAAAAGGAACTAGACAGAAAGATGTGAATATTCACCTCGTCAACAGCATTGTCCAGGAGCTCAGCAATAGCTGTAAAACACATACAAAATTATGTGAGTCAAAGTAAAACAACTATCTATAAATTGGAAGTCGAATGTAAAGATAATGCATAAGTAGCTACACAAAATTACAAACTACAGAGTACAAATGAAGAGTTGCACCAAAAAAATATATTAATAAAAATAATAAATAAAAACTAACCTCAGATTACTCATTACTCATATATATACATATAAAAGTTTCAACCCAGCCTAGCACCACCCAGAAGTATTAGTTAGCTATCCATGGTTAACCGTGAATAAATACTTCAGACTTTTGGTATATTGAGTTTTTCCAAATATTGACTTTTCAAAGTTAAATATTGATTTATCAATGCTAGACTAGAGCAAGAAGAATAAGCCTTCTGCCTTCCAGTCCTCCTTCCATGTGTTAAAGGTCTAGAAAAGTTTCCTGCTCTTAGCCAAATACATGATAATATGAAGTGCCCTACAGCTTCTATTAAATGCCGCTACAAACTTGCCAAACAAGTGAATAACCATCTAACACATCTTATACCAAAATGCCAAAGCTCGTTAAACATGATAGTTGGCCTATGTAATGATTAAGTTAGAGGAATCAGAAATTAACCTCGCTTGTAAACAACATAGGCCAGGTGGCTACACATAAGCTGCCCAAAACAGATAGCAATCAGAAATTGCCCTGAATGATCCATTTCCCATATCCCAAGTCTTGGGAATGCTATGCACTAATTCAAGTTTTGGGAATGCTAATATAACATCATTAATAAAATAAATAAGTATGCAATAAATCAAGTATTATCGGAATCATGGCAGTTACAAACACTGAGCAACCAAGTAATATGTTACTCTGCCAACAAGCATATTATGAAAATAAATAAGTAAATCAAGTGTAACAAAAAATAAACCCACCACCAAAAGCCCATTTATGAGAAGTAGCATTGGAGTGAAGAAACTTTGGATGAACACGTGCATGCTCCAATTCACCTGCAAAACCAAATACAGCAAAATTAACCCTTAAAAAAGATAAAAACAAAAAAAAAGAATTAAAATGTTGGTTACCCTGAGCAGGAACAAATGAAGAGGGGCCGATTTCATAGGCACCGGCTTTCCAGAAACTTCGACAATCAAGTTTCTGGTTGGTGAAGTCGGGATCTGCTGAATTAACTTTGGTCTTGGAATTTGGTTGCTTGACATTATTACTTGGTGGTTGAGGTGGGACACTTTCTTCGTCGTCGCTAGGTATTTCAACGACAATGGGCTCATCGTTTGCAGGTAAAGGTGGCATTACGATGCAATTTTGAAATGCAATTGACAATTAGGGTTTTTGTTTGGGATTTCTAGGGCTTCAATTCCTTCCTCAACCTCAATTGAAGCGGGAATATAGAAGCGCGAGAGGTTTGTTTGATCAATTGATTAGCGCTCTGTGCCACGTTGCCAACTGCTTTTACGACTAATTACATCAATTCCCGTCTTAGGCTTTTGCTGCCTTTTACCGGCCTAATACAAATCTTTCTTTTTTTTTTTTTCTTTGGGACATTCCCATTGATACCACTTTAAAACTGTTTTTTTATTGGTTCACTAAGTAACTTCTTTTTGCCTTTCATTTTTACTCTATATAATTAGTAATTATTTATAATTAAAAAAATTATCGGACAAATTTTTGCGTTGGCAAATGTGTCAGTCATATTGGGGCATTTATTTTGAAACAGATCAAGTATTTTACATTCCCCATTAGTCAAAGCAAGTGAGATTAGGGTTGTTCATCGGTCCAAGATCGGACCGGACCGAAGACCGAAAATTTGAATTTCAAAAACCGAAGACTGGAGCGATGTTTAGTACAAAAAAAAAAAAAACTATTAAAGAAAGAACCGCTAATGTAGAAAGGTGATAAATATGGGTTGTTTATTAAAAGAAAAACTTGTATTTTCTTGTTGAATAACGTGTAGAACCAACAAAAACACACGAGTTTGTTGCTATTCTGTAATACCCCATATTTTTATACGTATTTTAACTTAAATAAGTATTTCTTAAAGTATTTAAATAATTCGAAATGAATTATTTATGGTGTTTCATTAATTTAAAAAGAATTATTTTAATTAAAAGTTTATTTTTAATTATTTAACAATCTTGAAAATATTTTATTTCATGATTTGAAAACTTTGGGGCATATTACTTTATAAAAGGAAATTATAAAGTTAACGAGTTTTTAAAGAAAGTCAAAATACTAGTTTGAATAGGAAAGGGATCATTAAGGGCAAAAATGGAATTTAAGTCTAGGAGGGTTTTAGAATGGGGGTATAAATACCCATCACATGGGCAAATTAAACTTTGCCCAAGTTGGAGAATACTGATAGGCCGTCGTCGAGCCTATCAATATAAATTCCTATCTTGGTCTTGCTAACTAATAGCAAGGGTAAGAAAGGGTCAAACCCAAGAGAGGCGTTGAATCAACCACCGAGGTACTACCATTTAAAAAAGCTAAATGATGTCGAAGTTGGTTTGGTTTTGAGTAACTTCTACTAATTCAATTCAACTAAAGCTAAGAGGAGATTAACAATATTTAGAGGAATCTAAGGCTCGGGTTATACCACTCAACTTCATCACAAACCACGATTAGCATGCAACAATTAAGGTGAATTAAGGGGATAAATTAGGGGAAGTCATATAAGGCACCCAACTACTCTTTCAAGCTAGAGGGATTACTTGAATCATGAATACAACCAACTCTCGTGGTTACAAAGCATAAAACAAGTATTAAAGCATAATCACGATGACATAAACATTCCCTTGACCGGAAATTCCTGTTCTTATGGCATTTCAAGTCAATTAAGCATAAGGGAGCTAACTCAAGTTCATCTCTCGATCCTTCGTTGAGAAAACTTGAATAAATAGTTCTAGCAATGGCCATATACAAGAACTAAGCAATTAAACCACTTAAGCTCAACTAATTAACACCCAATAATTACCCAATTATTACATGCAACAAGAAATTAGTGACTACATTGAGGATTTTACCCAAACCCTAGAAATTAGACTACTCACAATCCATGGAGATTAAAGCAATTAAAGATTTCAAGCAATTCATGAACAAGTTCAAACTAAGGATTAAGCTAATTAACAATCTAAGCATGCAAGTAATTAACAACAAAGTAGAGAGAAATGGAAGTAAAGAGTAAGAAATAGTTATTATGAAGCTTCAAAGTGAGCAACAATGGTGGAACTTGTCTTCTACAATGATTGAAGTTGAATATTTCCAAGCTAATAATTAGAATCTAACTGATGATTTGAGAATTTAATATTCTAGGATTGCAAAACCAAGAGAAAACTCTAAAAATATTGATGATCCGTAAAAATTAGCTCAAAGAGGGAATTTATAAGACCCCCAAATAAAAAGGACGGAGAAAACAAGAATTAGGCTCAACTGCAGGTAGGGGTGTACAAAAATTGGCCCGGACCTGAAACCGGACCTGAACCGACCTGAACCGGACCGGACCTGACCCGGACCTGTTGATTCAGGTCCGGTCCCGGTTCTTAAAAATCCAGGTTCCCGGTCCCGGTCCGGACCCGGTCCAAACCCGGGGTTTTCAGGTCCGGACCTGAAACCCGGGAAAATCGTAATTAAAAAAAAAAAAAAAAAGAAGAAAACCAAACTCTAAAAAATTGAAACTGAGTTTTCGTGGACTTATTTGTATTTTCGGTGGACTCATTTGTATTTTTGGTGTTTGAGAATCGGGACTTTATAGACTTTATGTAGTTTTGTAATTGATAATTTTGGTTTGTATGTAATTATTAAATTATGCAACAGGTCTAAAAATCACAAAACAGGTCCATATGCAGGTCCATATGCAAGTCCAACAGGTTTTGTATAAAAAAAAAAAAACGAAAAAGACACAAAACAGGTCCATTCAGGTCCAAACCCGGACCGGACCTGATTTTTCAGGTCTGGCCCGGAACCGGACCTGTTAATTCAGGTCCGGTCCCCGGTCCTCATAATTACCCAATTCAGGTCCCCGGTCCAAACAGGTCCGGTCCAGGTCCGGTCCGGTTTTGGACCGGTGTACACCCCTAACTGCAGGTCGGCACGGACGTGCTGCCTTATGCACGGCCGTGCAGTGCATGGCAGTAGTTACTATTTGGGCTGGAAATCATGCACGGGCGTGCCAATTAAGACACGGACGTGCAACCTCTTCTGCAGAGACGTGCCAACTTAAGCACGACCGTGCAGGCCTTGACAAAAGGTTCTTACTTGCTGGAGCACTTGTAACACCCCCAAAATTCGGGTCTTTGTAAAACGATAAGAATAATCCTTTTCTTTCAAAACTGACCATCAAACCTTGAGAGTGTTACTGCTACACTTATTTTCCATAGAAAACAAGTGCAAAGCAAAAACAAAATACCATTTTATAACTAAGTGATCTAAGTGGCGACAAGAATAAAATAAAATAGTCGTTGCATCCAAGCTGTAAAACACTTTAAAACATTAATTTAAAAAGGAAAATAAATGAGTTCCGAATTAAACTAATTGTCTTAGCTACGTGATTACTCTAACGTCTCCTCACACGTAACCGAGTACCCTTTTACCAACCTGCAAAATAAATCAGAAACAAGAAAAGAGAAAAAAACTTCCCAAAATAAGATAAACTAAGTAATTCCAACTCCATCCCGTAAAATAATAATTTTAGTTCGAAAAATATTGTACACAACACAATTTTATCGACATTATAATAATAAGTCAAAAATCAAATTGTCACATAAAATTTATTACTTTAGTTAAGAAAGGGAAAGAGAACGCCAGTAAGCCGGGACTAGTCCCTGTCACCACCTACTTTACAGAGGGTCGTGCGTAACCCCATATGACCATAAATTAAACAGAATGTCCCTATTGTGCACACCCCTCACTAATACCCATTGATTAGGAGGAAGACTAAACAACAATATACGTTAATTTAAACCAACTAGTAGCAACCATAACTACTAGTGGGCAACCTGTTCTTCACCCTTTCGGGTTTCATTTCCCTTCTTAATTTAATGTACATCTTAATAGATTAAATTGTCCGATCACCTTGCGCACGAGTATTGCACAAAATCAATTTAATCCCAAGTAGCAATATTTTAATTTCAGTATTAAAACATAGTCATTTTACAAGACATACTGGTTACAACCCGTTTCTCAATAGGTCCTGGAGACCATCAATCACATATAATCAATCATCCAATTCCCAAGATTATAATTATATAAAAACTCATACGATACCAAATAATCAAATTTTCGAAAATATTATACTAGTACACAATCATAGAAAACTAGTATATAATATAATTCCAGAATATCATATGGTAACACATCCATCACATATCATTACGTAAGCACATAGTTGGCACACAATAATTTAAAACAATTTCCTAACGGGATTCTAAAGATGATGGACATTGAAAATTACCTTGAATCGCGCTTAAAACTTAAGGTAAATGACCTCCAAAACGTTCACCTAGTAGCCTCCGTCTACAACAAACAGATAAAATAAACTAATTCAGTCCTACTCATATTTTTAATACCGAGAAAGTAGTAGTATGTGGGTTAGGACTACTCGTAGCATACTATCTTCATAATAAAAAAAATATTGGAGGAAATAAAAAAGATATTTTGTAAGTCAACAATGATAAGAAAAAGAAGTATTGGATATTAGATAAGGGGTCTATTATCTATCCCACATTCCCACGACTGAAAGTCAAAATCCAACAGTCTTCTTCCTCTAAATAATTTCAATGGTGTTAAATTTTTTTTTTTTCTGCAAACTCTTTGTCAGTTATAAAATAGCTTCTCGTCTTTTCCACCATTGATACTACTCATCCACTATAAGACTATGAGTTTGTCTTATAGTTACGAAAGAAAACAACAAAACCCTTTTAATTTTGTTTCTATTTTTTTTTTTGAAATTATATTCTATGAATCGGAAAGAAAACCATATGAAAATATAGCTCAAGGTTATTGAACAAAGACGAAATTCGTAGAGGGTTGGCTGACAACTATTTCAAGAAAGATGAAGGTGAAGAAGAACCATGACTTACTGTTGAAAGATCGGTCGGGAATGACGACTTGTGAAAGGTTGAAAGAGATGGGTATTATTTGAGAGTGTTTGTATACGACAGATCAATTGGGATTTAAAGTATATATAACTTAGAAATCTTAGGTTTAATTGCTCTAGAATATTCAGAAGATAAGACCCAATTTCAAATTGAGTTTGTTGCTAGTTCTGAAAAGATAAGCTTTAATTTTTTTTTTTGTTTTCAAAATCAGTTTCTGCGAAATAGGAAACCAATTTTATTTTATTTTTTCCGAAAATGGAAATAAAAATATAAATTATTAATTTTTTTTTCTATAAATTTGAAAATAATTATTAATTTAAACTTTATATTAGAAAAATCGTTGATTAAATACAATAAAAAATTTGGGGTATTACAGCACTCCTACACGGACGTGTTGGGCATCTTGCACGAACGTGACTAAATTTGCAGGGCAAGGCAGAGACTCTTATGTTGTTGGTGCAATCCTGCACGGGCGTGCAAGGCTTGGCACGGCCGTGCAGGCTCTTCTAAGCCCTTTTCTTCTATATTGCTCCTTTCCTTGGCTTCTTTCTACTATCTTCTTGCTTCTAACCTCGGTTTAATATCCATGAGCTTCATTTGGTCGTCTTTAAACCTAGAATCTCAACAAAAAAACACCAACAACCCATAAAGCACGGTGAAACTCCATCCCAACACACTAGTCTAGCAAAGCATTACAAGTGAACAACACAAATTTAATGTGTAAAATTACAAATTTGCCATTAGATGAACAAAAATTACTTGGAATTTATTAACAAGATGACTCCTCCCCCACCCACGACAAACACAAAAGAAAAATAAAAGGAGGCCAGCATCAGTATCAGCAGCCTTGTATTTTCCCTCCCATTGAAGTCTGGGTGTCTGCACTTCGCCAATCATCGGCGTCAACGGCAATACCATCAGCTTCGTCAAGGTAACTTATTCTTTGTTGTGTTCTTTAACCTTCTTCTTAGTTAACTCATGGTATTGATTCAATCGTTAAATTTGAAATTTAGGGTTTTCTTCTACCTGATGATTTACTCCTTTGTTCAATTAAATCACCTTCACTTAGATTCATCTCCCTCGTATGACATATCTTAAAACTTTATCATCATTATCGCACAAAATGCAGTTATCGATCAATCATGAGTTCACAATGAAGTTATTTGGGGAATAGAACAGTGAAATTGTTGAAAAGGAAAATTAATTTCAATGTTATAACCCAGAATAGACTTTGGAGTCTGAAATTTTGGATAGTCCTCGATGGTCGTTACTCTGTCTTTGCAAGGTATCAACTGATATAGATTGAGGCAGACTTTGATGCTTTATTTGACTTTCGATAACCTCTTTAACTCAATTTCCTAATTAGCTTGTTTGTTTTTTTTTGGCCTTCCGGTATAGAGGCTACTGAAATTTGATTGACCTTAACTGAGGATTATGTAGTTTGCGACTTGTGGGATTAGATAGATGCTTCTTATAACAGGACCTACACTATGCTTGCGAGGGGAGGGGAGGAGGTGGAAGGAGTGTGCTTTGTTTTTCCTTCCTAATATTTCTGATAGTGGAAGAATTTAATTTTTTAAAGGGAAGGAAAATGGATCTTCCAATTCTTTCCTGTCCCTTTTTCCATTAAAGAAAATTTAAACACCTCACTCTTGCTCAAATTCTGTCATATAAACACACTATTGCTCTGCATATATATGGTAGCTGCACCTTTTTCTCCCCTTTCTAATGCTTCCCAAGTTGATCTTAAGGACCAATTAAGAGTTGTATATCTTTTGAGCATGATAGGGGAAGCTGCCCTAGTGTACAAAAGACCGAACAGGAGTCAAAACGTATGAGTGTCAAGTTCTTGTACCTTGCTTTTTCTGTGAGGTAACTTCTACAGTTCTACTCATGCTGATTTAATGATTGAGCATACAAATGGGGTATATGAAAACGTGTACTGAATGAACATGAGAAACTTTAATTTTTGTTAGTGACAGATGATCCTTCAGGCAATATTGCCTGATGGGTACATTGGATATATCCTCAATATAACAATATTGGGTTCTTGCATGATAAATTACACCACTAACTCACTAAGATTATCTTTAAGCAGGGCTAGCTTACAGGCATGTATGGGAAAATAACTCAAATATATATTTCAACAAAAATCGACTCTACTGAAAGCCAACTGATATGATCGTTGATTTTCTCGTGGAAAAGGAGTACATGACCTGCCTTCTTTCTGAACGAAGCTTAGGCTAGCTTATGCAATATGCCTTATCCATATTGGTAGTTAAATGTCCTTGAATATGCATGCGACTGCCTTGCAGAGAAGTGCTACATCATTGTAATTAACTATTCCCTATGTCTCTTATGCAACCTGTTCACTTATGGAACAATTATTATGGAAATAGAAAAATGGAAGATGGTCAGGTCTAGGTCCAACATTTATCTTAAATGAAGTGAAAGATCCCTGTACGCAGAACGGGAAGTGTATTTTGTGACATTCCAGTAAGGTAAATGGGAACTTAATGTTGGGACTGAGGGAGAACTTCTTAGAGCCAGAAGGAAAATCTTGTATAGGTAACTTTTTCTCCTGACAGAATCTTGAGTCACTGCAGTGTGTTTTAACTTGGCACTGGAGTTTATATACTGAGTGATGGATATTGGTGTTTAGCTGTCAACCCTTAACTACCTTTTCATTTAGTATCCTGGGAAGCTTGCTTAATAACTGTTGTATATGACTCCTCCTTTGGTATCATACTAAAAATATTACCTTGGGCTTGTTTGACCTGTTTGAATTATTTTACAATGAAGAATGTAGTCATAATATGCTGACAAGTTTTCATTTTTTTATACAGCTTTTTTTCACTGGCCACAGACATGGACACGGAAGGACAGCAAATGATTTGTGAAAGTACTCCACAGGCCATACAAATTGACCCTAAAAGAGCTCGATTTCCTTTCTGTATCGTATGGACACCTCTTCCTGTTATTTCATGGTTGATTCCTTTTATAGGTCATATTGGCATTTGCAGAGAGGATGGCGTAATTTTGGACTTTGCAGGCCCCAACTATGTATGTGTCGACAATTTTTCCTTCGGCTCAGTGACTCGATACCTACAGATAGATGCAAAGGTATGCTCTTAGCCTCTTAGAGCAACTACAATGGTTGGCTAATTCTTTTAATAGCTTGTCATGCCACATCATCTTCTTAAGCTATAACAATTCTAGCTATTTGTTGCTCCATTGGTTAAGCTAGTTGTAAATTAATTAATTTTTAATTTAATAATAATTTTTGTCTAATAAATATTCACCAAGCTAATTAGCTCTACAAAGCTAATTTGCTTGACAAAGCTAATCAACAAGATGTGCAACAATGGTATAGCTAATAGCTTAAGATTTTTTATATTTGCAAGCTAGTCCCTTTTCCCAACCATTGGAGTTGCTCTTACAAACATAATCTCGCCATTTTATTTTTTTTTAAAAAAAAAAAAATTAATTTAATTCAGTTTGGATGCCTCCAAAAAATTAACTTGTTCTCATTTACTAGGGAAGCAGAAACTAGTAACAAACTACATTCAGACTATATTCACGAGCCAAAATACTGCAGTAATATAAAAATTCATGCCTATTTTGATAAATTAGAAGAGGATGGGGACAAACCCAAGTCTCTCTCTCTCTGTCTTTGTAATTGCTAGCTTGCTGCATCACTTATCAAGCTCTGGAGTTAATTGTCGTGCCATACAGGTTATATGCCTCAAATATGAGGCTATGAGCATTGTTTGCAGAATTGCAGCACATGATAGTTTAAAGAAACCTGGAAATAATGTATCTAATATACATTAATTTGGTGACTTACCTAGCCTGCCAATGGGAGGCCATCCTTATACACATAATGTTATACTTAATTATTAATGCTAGCTTGGTGGGTGAATCTGGACAGACCATCTGCATTATTTTCTGAACTTGGAATTTTATGTAGTACTCAAAGTTTCTACATATATTACTTATGATAAAGTTACACATGTACTGATTGTTTTAAGTTGTATTCAGCTATGCCGTGCAATTTCCGTCTTGGCTTCCCGTAGAAATGGAGACCAACAGAATCCAAGTGAATCTGATGGAGAGATTTTTCCTTGGGATGATGCACTTCGAAAAAGCACACTAGAATTCCAACACCATTCGTACAATATCTTGACTTGCAACTGTCACTCTTTTGTGGCAAACAATCTAAATCGCCTGGGTTTCAATGGTGGCAGGTGGAATGTGGTTAGTCTTGCAGTACTGATTCTCTTGAAGGGTAGGTGGGTGGACAGAGGTTCCATCATAAAATCTTACTTGCCCTTTCTTATTGTATTTCCTTTGGGTCTTGTTCTTGGAGGCTGGTCTTTTCTGAAATTTTGGGCTATGTTTATGATTATCCTTGTTGGTTGGTTTTTAATTGGATCATATTTTTTTAAGGCTTTAATCCAGTTGTGAAACTTAATACTTGTATTTTTGTATCTGAACATTCTGTCAAGTTCTTGTTTACCTTGTTAAATGTACAGAAACGACCATGTAATAGAGGAAAAAGTTTCACCAGTTAATGCTACTGCTGATTTGCGTGTATTTTTCCCCCAATGGCAAAGTACATACTCTTAATATGAAGTATCTTTGTAATATTGAAACATTCAAAAGAGAGCTTGACTTCCACAGAGTTGTGCAATTATGTGCATATACTCATATGGCCATACGGGGCACAGCCATCACCTATCTACTATCTCTAATGGCTTAGAATTGAATTGTATATCAATTTGTATGAGAAATTAATGTTCATTGACTTCATTCCCGATTCCCATGGTATCGAGAATGAACACCTTTTAATTGTGAGGTTCGATTGACATTGAATATTTACAAAGAGAAACAAGATTTGGATCGGATGAAGTTGCATTATAATTACATACGGAGTTTTCGAAGTAAGGTTTATTACACTTCCTAAATTATGGAGTACAATTAATTGCCTACTAGAGTAATTTTTTCCTTAGGATTTTATCAAATTGGGGATGAGAGTTACTAGAACTCTGGCAAAAATCAAAACATCAAGCATTGACGAGAATATTTCCCCCCCCCCCCCCTACTTTTTTTTAGGAAAAATACACCTGTTTACCGCTAGGCCGCTCTATCCAACGAATATTTTGTTTTGATTATCCCAAAAGAAAGAGAAAAAAAAAGAAAAAAAGAAAGCGCATAAATCATAATAATAGCAGTAATTATATATTTGTTTTTTTTTTTTTGACGGAAGTAATAATATATTGTTGCAAAGAGAGACATAGAAAGAGTTTGGAAGAAGAGAGAGATGGGCGACGAAGGACAAGTAATGAGCTGTCACAGCACGGAGGCATGGGAAGATCAGCTCGCCAAGGCCAATGATTCCAAAAAACTCGTACGGATCATCTTTTTTCTTATTTCTTTTGCCGTTATTCTTATTTTAATCTCTATGTTGTTTAATCATTATCTTTTTTCACGTTAATTTTGTGTTTTCCATTTGTAACATTCTTGTTCAATTGTACATACCAACTATTAATATCAATATATTTTTTTTATTTCTTTGTTTCTTCTTGGATCTTGTTTTTTGTATTCTGGATTCATTTCTTATTTGCATTAATCCAATCGGCTTTTATATTAGGGTTTTCTTTTTAAATATAACAAGATTACAAAGAACTGGATGATTTTTATATTTCAATTTTGTCTTTACTCGGATAATCCTGATTAATTGTCATTTTCATTAAGTTGTTTTCGTATTCGCTAATCACATTAGTGTAATGCGCGCGGTCTAAATCGACAACCCTTACAAACAAAATGCGCGCCTCCACGAAAAGAACCTTCGAATCTGAAAACAACATGAGGTTGTCTTTTTTTCTAACTACAAAAACAACTCAAGATAAAATACATTAGAAAAAAAAAATAAATAAATTCAAATTCATTAGCAGGAATTATTTTTTCAAACTTTAGGATTGCTTTTGATTAATTTGTTGAAGACAAAATTATTTCGCTCTTGGATTGAGCAAGACCAATTTTGGGAAAAAAAAAAAAAAGGGAACGACTACTTGTAGTAGATAGTAGCAAGTATTTCTTAACGGAAATTATGAGTTCGTTACCAGTGATTTTTATGCTACAAATGATTATTTTGATTTTCTTATAGACTTATAGTTCATAATCGGTATGTTTGTATAATTTATTTTGTAAATTCTTCTAATTTAAGTTATGTTCCATTAATTAAAACATTTTAACAATACAATGAACTTCATATTCTTGTATGAATGGAGATTAGAGTTGTTCTTCGGATTTGAACTCATCTCAAAGGTATGTTCTTTTACTTTGAAGTGTGTAAGTTAATATATACACATGATTATTTTCCTATATATTCTTGCATTTAATTTTCGAGTTATATGTCCATTGATTCTCAAGTTCCCCAATGTCTTTTATTTTAGCCCTTATGAGCGCGCTTTATTTTAGCCCTTAAGTGTTGGTAAATGGATTAATTAAAAGTGTTTTGTAAGGAAGAAGTGATAGTAGGGACATAGGAAAATTAGGATCCCCAAAAGGAGAGTATTTCCCCCTTCACGATTTTTAACACAATATCTACCTCATCCCATCTACCACCACCTCAATCTCTGTAATTTATCTCCAATCACCCCTTCATGTGTTACTCCTTCTCCAAGGATCTCCTTAGGTCCTGAGACAAGGTGCATATGCCTTTAGTTGATCAAATTGGTAAGAGTTGCGAGCAGTATAATCTCAATATCCCCCATTTAGAAGGATATATTCTTCCCTGCACTTTCTTATTCAGTGCTTTCTAGTAAAATGGCTCAGAAATAAATATTACCATTAGACCAATCAAGAGCATGTTTTTACTTTGTTTTCATGCTCTGTTAGTGTATTTGGATAGGATATTAATTTGAGGTTATACTTTAATGGATTCCCCTTCCGCTTTCTTTATTAGTTGATCAAATGAAGCAAAATGGTTACATTGTATCATTAGGCAAAATAATTTCCATTAATCTTGGAAAATCTAGACTCTTATTGGTACTTCCTAATTGATCAAATTTTGAGGGAGCGTATACTAATTAACCCAATGATGAAGATAGAAGCTACAAATATTCTTTCAAGTGTGACTCAGAAACACGCACCTGAATGAATTGCTTTCTTTCTCTCCAGAAAGGAATAACCAATACTAGTGGCAGTTCAAATGATGGGGGTTCTTGTGAGCTCTCCTACTACTCTAGCTGGACAGGATTTATCTCTCTTTGGTTTTTGTTTGTTTTCTCTCTGCTCATCTTTTTTTCTGGCCTTTGAAAGAATTTGGCTGTTAAATGACATGTGCTTATCATATATGACTCTATGAGTATTTAAATGCACAGATGGTTGTTGATTTCACCGCTTCATGGTGTCCACCTTGCCGTTTGATTGCACCTTTCCTGGCTGAGCTTGCTAAGAAGCTTCCCCAAGTCATATTTGTTAAGGTGGATGTGGATGAGTTAAAGGTTTGAATGAAACTCCTTTTGTCCTTCAAAGTTGCATTTTTTTGTTCCTAATATATCTTCCATTAAGTTTTAATTTTTGTGTATTCAACGGCAAGTTGCAAGTGATTGGGCTATTGAGGCAATGCCAACATTCAAATTCCTGCGAGAAGGCAAGATTATTGATACGGTCGTGGGAGCAAAGAAGGAAGAGCTGGAGGCGACTATAGCAAAGCATGTTTCTACTGCTTAATTGGTTGAAATATTGTATGTTGGGGTTTCTATCTTTTACTATGTATCTGGTATGAAGCAACAGACCTTATCATAAAATAGTTATGCTGGTTTCAGGAATTGCTGGTTTTTTCTGTTTGTGGTACAATATACAATTTATACATAGTACGTCTTAATAATGTGTTGCTGCTCTTTGAACTAGCTTTGGACCTTGCTCTCAAAGTTCAGATATTAATGGTTGTAAATTTTAATGAGCCTATTTGATGGCAAAAATTGTATGTTTATAAGGAGTACTATTTAGCAGTTTGAAGACAAAAGTCATATTCATAATCTTAGTATCAAAGGGCTTGTTTGTATAGTAAGAGTATACCAAAAACTTGGTCATTACTTAGTTTTATCAATGAAGTTATTCAACTCCAACCTTATGTACTTTGTCGGTCTAAGGATCCATTTTACAAGAACAAGGGAGTAACATAACTTGATCCGAAGATTAATTCTTATTATTACAAGCAGTGGAATTTTTTTAGAAAAATTTACAATGTCATATTCTTTTTTAAAAAAATTAAATCATTTTCTGTTTTTTTGGAAAAGAAGAATACTATCCATTTAAAAATGTTTCTCTACGACATTTACAGAAAAATTGTTTTTGGTTTGTAGCCAGCCCTGCTCTGCTTATATCACCTGGTATAAATCTCCATTAAATGGCAGAATTGAGGAGTGCAAGATATTTGCAGTTTACCTCCAAGGCTCTAATAAATTTGTGAAGCTAGAGACAGTGTTTAATAGAATGTGCAGTTCATTGGCAAAGCAAAAATGGAAAGCCAAAGCTTTTATTGTTTCGACAACAATTGTGTCAAAATTGTTTTACATTACTTCTGAAAACATGAATGTGAACTGAAGAGGGGGTGGTTACCTCCCTAAAATACAAAAATAATCACACAAAAATCCTTTAATTCTATAGTCATTCTCAAATTAAAAAATAAAAAATAAAAAAAAATAAAAAAATAAAAATAAAGATAAAAGATGAAAAATAAAATTCACACCATAATCTCTCCCAGCCTCTGTTTAAAGGCCAGGGGCTAGAAGACTAGAACCACATAATTATCAAACTTGCTAAACCTACACAAAACTAAATTTACAATTACGGAATGGATACCAAACAAACTATTAAAACCAAATTTAACCGCCCAAATGCCCTTTGATTAGCACGGTCTAAAATCTAACTCTAAACAGTTACACTTTGAGCCTATCTAATAAACTTACACTTCGAGACTAATGTTCCTTCCTCACTGGTATGTTCTGTCGAAACTATCATGCATGGTGATCAATAGTGTATACTTGTTTGGTTAGATGTTGTAAAAGCTGTGGAAGCGCAGATTGCTTGAACTGATAGTCGCTTCAACACATTTGGACAAGGGTCGTTTCCAAAATTGCTATTTGTTACTGTTACTGCACAACTTTGCTTCCCTTTGCATTTCTGTGAGAAAATGAAAAGCAAATATCTTAACACATGAATAGAGTAATCCCGATGAGATCAAACCCTAAGAAATAAAATTCTTTTCTCAGTACCTTTTCTAAGACTGCATATGAGGTGGAAGCATGGCAAGAACCTTTCATAAATCTCCCACAAGTTCCAAGAGGAGTTCCGAAGCTTGCAAATGTGATAGATGAAATGTACTGGCTAGGAGCACAATGCAAATGGATTTTGGGTATGTAGAATTCTTGTGTTCTATCATAGCTTTCAATCTGAAAGCTTTTAACGGTTCGATGAGTCTCAGAGACTTGTGCACAGATTGTGTTCATTGATCTCTTCATAAGGGTAATTTTGCTTGGATCTCCACCTGTTTCCTCAAAGAGAACGATCAGATTTCTTGTTGGTTTTAACCAGGATCGAGGCACATGATACCTGCAAAATCAAATTTTTATACATAGCATTGCTAATCTCATATTAGGTTATGTTCTTAAAGATCCTGCCTCCAAAATAATTAAGGAGAAAAGGGGGATCTTGCTTTGTTGGTTTGGGGGGTTACCATCTTTGGGAAGGCTTGCCACATCCAACTTGACACTTGGGAGGATCAAATCTTCCAGTATAGCTGCATCCGTTACATTCACCACTAGCATAAGTTGTCCAATATCTTCCAATGCTTTCCCCATTGATCCACACTTGACCCTTCCCCATGCTTTGCATGTCCAAAGCCAATGGATCATTTCCTTCAGGTGCATCAAAGTAAGCCTACAATTTCCCAGTTGTGAATATTTAGAATTTAAGTCACCAATGTCAATGAGAACTGGAATGAACAGAAAACTAAAAATCCCAGTACCTTGTGCCACATCAATGGCTGGTCTTGGACAGCTATTTTACTGTCCATCCATTCTACCGTGGATATACCATTTGGAGAGGCTAGATTCATGGACTCCCCCTTTAGGCCAACCTGAAAGAAGATGGTTAGCATTACTAAAAAACTAAAAAAGTTCAATGGAACATAATGGTAAGTATCATAATACAACTAAATCACCTGATAGGTCCATTTCTCCCAGGATAGGTCTAGTTTTCCCTGACCAAGGCCTTGTAATACAACGGGGCCTAGGATTCCTGTTTCCCAAGACTCAAAATGTCCTCCCACATTCTTCAGCAATCAAACACAGTTATTTTTTAGTATGTGAATAATAAATAATCCTGTAGCAGGTACAAATTTTTCTTTACAGTATGAGAAGTAGAACGCTAGAAGAACGCATACCGGTAAGCCAACGGCTATGCTCAGGAGTGCAATTTTGTTTGTTCCTGGCAGTAAATTCACTTTTTTGCTGAAGATGAATCTTCTATTCTTCCTTTCCCCAAAGGCAGATCCTGCAAGTGATCGTCAATGATTGTATCAGGATAAAAGAAGTTGAAACTATTACTGAAGAGCTGTTTCCATAAAACATATTGCAGTATGCAGTACCTATAAGCTGTCCGTTTACAAAAACATGAACAGCATGCCCTGTAGATCGTACTATGAGTGTTGGGAGTTCCCCACCACGAAAAAAGGACTCTGATGGATTAATTTCAACACTGCAAGAGCACCAATTAAAGCAAAAGACACAGTCAATTTTGAAGATTGAATTCTTAATTATGGTTGGAGAATATATTAAGCCCATAAAAATAGGGCAAGTAATACATATCATGTATACCTAGTTTTGTACCAAAGATAGTCGGTACTATCCCTGGTCATGTTTATCTGCTCTAAGAGACCAACAGCTGTTACTGTTGAGCTTGACCCGTCATCTAGAACTGATGCATCTTCGTTATAGCTTTCCCATGGGAATATTTCTGTGTTGCTCGGAAGCATTTCCATATGCGATGTTTGTTCTCCTACCTGTTAGTCATGAGCAACAAGACAGTTACCTCCTCACTCTAAATCATCACCTTAGAGGAAGTTGACTAATGAATGAAAGCATTTTGTCAGGATCTTATAAGCCTCCAGTGGACTTACCTTTGCAGTGTTGAAAACTACATTTTTGCAATCTGGAAGAATGCTTATGGACCAGGGAGGCAAGGTGTAGTGTTTATTATTGAACAGAACTCTCACACCAGATTCTGTATCATAGTTTGAAAGAAAAGCTGCACAGCCTCCTTTTTCCGGGAAAAATACATGAGCCTGAAAATATATAGAGAGGTTTATACTTTATTACTTTATATCAGTATAAGGTATAAGCAGTATAACCAAAAACATAAGTTTTCTAGGTGCTGTAGGTGGAGGTGAAACCTGTTGATGATCCCCCAACTGAGTAACTACAGGATCAGACGAAACCAGTGCTGATTCACATAGCTTAATTGCCTTATGAAGTTCCTTTAGATGACCATATTTTGGCTGCCTGATCAAACCTATATGCAAAAAAGAAGTTGCATTTATATTCGCCTGTCCCCTTCTTAGTAGTTTGTACATATAATGATATTAATAAGCAAAACAATGTAGGATATCCGAAGGTCTTTTACAACCTACTCTATATAGCAAAGTTCTTCAATTCTTACCATATTCATCAAGAGGAGCATCATAGTCGTAAGAAGTAGTGATAAATGGACCTCCAGCTGTTCGCCCGAAGTTTGTCCCACCATGGTACTGTTTGACATGATCTTTGTTAGCAAAGTTTCATCGAGGATAGGTAAAACATTGGACCATCGGAAATTTACTCTGTAAAAGAAGTGTACCATGTAGTAGTTGACAAAGGATCCCCCTGTCTGTATGAACCTAGCAACAGAAAAGGCCAAATCTTCTACTGGTCTTTGGTGTTTGGGTCCTCCAAACTCGGTAAACCTGCTCAAGATGGTATAAACAGAGAATAACCTCATCAAATTCTCAGCATACAGTAAATGTTCAAATTTGAAGAATTAATTATTTAGAGAGAACCATACCAGCCAGTCCAAGCCTCAGTCCAGAGCTTGGGCTTAAATGGTCTGTTAGGTGTAAAATTATCGCAGTAGAAACCATTGCAAGTGTTTATCTGCCTCAGCAAGTAACACACAAAAACTCACTATGAGAACGTATAGCAGTTAACTTAGTTATTTTACAAATAATCATTCTTGTAACTAATTTGGCATGTTTTAAACAACATAAAATACAATGTGGTAAGCCAGACCAACAATCGATGATTCTGATTGCAAGAAAACCCTTACCAGAGGATCTGGAGTAGCATCGTCTTTGCACATGGTCCAGGGAACCCCTGTATCCATACTCTGAACCATGTTTGCAGCCCAGTTCATATAGTTATTCCCTTCTTGTCCAAGTCTCATTCTTAGTCTCCCATATTCATTCTCAACCTAGAGATGGTGTTATTTTAGTGAATAATATAGAGCATTCAAGCCATCTTACAGAACAAACATATCTCAAATACGAGTCGAAAATTTTATCAAAACTTGATGTATCCATTGACATCCACAGCATACAGTAGTGATTTCAAGAGTTTAGTTCACTAATCGTTACCTGAGCGAGAATGATTGGCCCGCCCTGAGACTCGAACAGATTATGACTCTTCAGCAAGGTTACGATTTTCTCAGTGAATCCTTGCATTGCTCTCTGCATAATCCCATTCCACACCTATTCCATCAACGATTCTAATACAACGTATTTTTTTACTTTATAGACAACTTAGATTGGCAACAATTAAATTAACTTCACAAATGACAGGCAATAGTGTAAATTCAGATTCCCAACCTTGAAAGGTTCATTATCAGTTCTGAAGCTGATTCCTGGTACATACTTCAACCATACAGGAAACCCACTACAAAACCCACAAAAATTTAATCCATTAGAATATTCCAAATTTTCTCCCTTTTCCTTTCTTTCATCCAATTCTTACGCACCCCATTAAAGTATAATTAGATTTTTATTTAATTATATATACATGTAAAAAAAAAATTAATAATTACATTTGGTTAATTAATAGAAGTAATAAACAGTTACCCGAAATTCCACTCAGCACAGACATAAGGTCCTAGTCTGAGATGGGCATAGAGTCCAGCTTTCTGAACAATCTTTAAGAATCTAACCAAATCATACCTTCCTTCAAAATTGTACTGAAAATTATTCAACCAACAAATATAAAATTAAAATAAGAATAACAATAATAAATACAAGTAACTGATAATTTAATTACACAAAATAAAAAGAAAATGAGGACAGAAGTGGAGTACATTGCCAGGAGAAGGCTCATGAACATTCCAAAAGACATAGGTATCAATCACATCCAACCCTCCATTTTTGGCCTTCTCTATCAGATCTTCCCACATCTATATCAAATTTAAAGTATAATTCAGAATAAACCCAGATATTAAAATGACATAAATATAATTAAAACATATGTATAAAAAAAAGAGTAAATACAATAATACATACATCAGGAGTGCTTCTGGGATAATGTATAGAACCAGACATCAAAATTCTTCTTTGGCCATTAATTAAAAGAGCTTTCCTGTCATAATTAACACTGCATTGCATAAATTTGGCATTCGTAAACACAATTAACACCCAGAAAAAAACCCAAGCTTTCATCTTTTTGCACTTTCTCACTCTAAAATCAAGACTGTGAGTAAGATTTTAGACAGAGAAAGTAGTAGAGGGAAATGGGAATGAATTTTGCGGTTTGGTTTGGCTGAGACTATGAACAACACTAACACCCCATTTTTGGTCTCACTTTCTCTCTCCTGAAAATGGGTATTGGGAGTAGCAAAATGAGTTTGGTATATATAAACACACTCTCACGTTTCATACAGCTTTGCATTTTTCACTAATGTCAATGCGTGCCATCACTATGCTCTGTATTTTTTTTTAATAAAAATTAAAAAATAAAAAAGGAAGAAAATTAGAAGCAAGAAATACTGACATAAAAAGTGCATTAAATCCGGTCCACTTTGCTATCAAAATTTGCGGAGTATAAAAGATTTAAAATAACATTAGCTTAAGTACGCTTTATAATTTGTTTAGTCAAACCAAGATTTAGACCTGAGTCTTGACCCCACCTTTTTTTTTTCTTGTGACAGGGATCTCACTTTCATCTATCACTCCCAAAATCACTCATATACGGAGTACTTTTTTACTTTTTTTTTTTTTTTCTTATAAAGAAAATACTTATACATGTACATTGTATTTATGTAGTACTCGTATGATTTTCTTAAAATACTTGAGATATGTATTATGGAGCAATTATATGTTTGTCAATATACATAGTAATTTCTAAATAAATAATACTCCGTACCTATACACTTTGTATATGAGATTGAACTACGAATTTTAAGCTATTTTCAAATGTAAAGCATAAGTTGGACCTTGTTAAACTTTTTTTTTTATTATTTTTTTATTTTTAAATTCATACTGGTGACTAGGTGAGTATTAATACTAACAAGCAGAGTGGCGAATCAATAAATACAGTTTTGATTAGTACTGTAATACACAAATTAGAACTTGTTCTAAGAAGTCATATCTTCAGTTAGTCAATTTCAATGGGTGTGGGAATACCTGAGATTTAGTTAGATTAAGAATATTATTTTCTATTGAGGTTGCTGACTATATAGATCATCCAAGATTATTCGCTGTTAATATAATAAAATGTGCACGTAATATTGTATTAATTGTTGATTGCTGCTAAAAAATGGCGAGGTTACCTTGTAGTTTCCTTATATAAGCAAGGGATGCTATTACAGCTTACAAGTTCACAACTTACAACAGGGTTGCTTCACTAATTATCTGTATAATTTTTGTTGGCCAGTTGCTTTAATTAAATAAGGATTAGGCTAGTGATACAGCCGTAATCATGTTAATCAAGATTTTGGCCATTAATTGATCAGTACAATTGAATTGCATTGCCAACAAATCTGTCAATTAAATTTTTTTCCCCCCTGAAATATCGGCTGAATGAGTTTTTCTTTACGCTTGTACAATTGATTAAGTTTCCAGGAAATTAAGTTTACAAGAAATGAATTGTCCTGGCTTCATGGAATAAGTCATGTATCGACTACGGATTACTCTAAATTGGAACGTCAATGAGTGTTGCTGAAATGTTACCATTTCATAAATCTTGTTGAGATTAGACCATTTAAAAAAAAGCGCATTATGTGATTAATTGATGGTACAATATTTCATCAATTCATTAACCGTAAGGGTAGTAATCTCATTTATGCATAATTATTACCAGGATTCTCATTTGTACATAATTAGTACCTCTTTAGTACATCCATATATTCATTCATTGTTAGTAATTCGATCAAATCTTATTTGTACATGTTCAACTATTCAGCAGTACACACTACTAAAAATTGTGAAAAAAAGGAACAGAAATATTTTAGTCTGTATACAATAAGACTTACGTAAAGATTATTCAAGATTAAGTTATACTCAATTAGTCATTATAGATGCTCCCAAGTCCCAATAAGTAATTCTTGGAAATTAAATAATCCGAATAAATTATGGATTTCAATTCTCAAATTTTCATATAGAGCAAGCAGATTTAATAGTTAGCAAATCTTTGTGATGGAAATGTAAAATGAATGCAGCTTTAAAAGGAATAAACGTGAGAGGAGTTACAGCTTTTGATTAGTCAACGAGGAAATTGATTAAAAGAGTTGGTTCAAAGAAGAAAAGCAGGTTATTCTATTAAAAAGATAAAAAGAAGAGAGAAAGCAGAGAAGATTAACTAAAAAGAAGAAAATGTTTTATTTGCCAGTTTGCTAATTGCCATGTTTGCCTTGGGGGGGGATGCCACCAAATGCCCTTTTTCATCTCCCAGACTCACTCTGTACTTCTATCTCAATTCTCGGTACCTGTTGGATTTCCTGCGCCAGGTATAATATACTTTTGTGTTATTTCGTAGTATTTTCTAATGTACTATGCTTTTATATCAACTGATCCAAAATTGATCTATACAATTGTTACCTTATGTCTTTTGTAAAATCACATCATATCATTATTTATAAAACAAAAGACTTATATTGTAGAAGTGTAATTCTAGCTTCATTTTATAATGTCCACCAATTTGTTGCTTAAAGGTTAGGTAGTTAAGGTAATGCATGCATGATAATCATAGCCTGTAACAGTATTAGTGTAATACCAAACATACACTAATGGAGTATCAGTTAATTTATTAAGCAAATCCAAATTAAATACATAGTAGAAGCAACAATGAAAAAGCTAGCTTAAGTCAAGATAGAAAAGTGGAAAAACTAGTAAGATAAAACAAGTATTATTGATTTATCATGTACGGAAATGTGAAGAAGAAGCCCCGCAATATAAAGAGGCCTCCACATGCAATTGTAAAATGTTTCAAGTAATTTTGATAGTCGTCAATCTAAGTGGTGTTTATAATGTAGTTATAGTGTATGTTTACTTTTCAATCTCTTATTTTTTTTGTTTTAAATTAATTACATTGATAACGGCGGAATGAACGGGGGAGATTGGGAAGGGCATCAATTAAGAAGCAGTTGTTGTTTTAAGACCCTACGAAAGAATATGGGCTGGTTAATTATTATATGAATTAAATTAGCCGTTGAGGGCCACCCACTTCACCAACAAAGCGGTAATTAAGGATTTGTTTTCGATCTGGGACTGGGAGTCAGCTCAGCTCAGCTATCTTCCAAATACCATTCTACATGTGTTCTACTTGTACACTTAACACTTAGCTTCTACAATACCATTCTAGTAGTAGTTGTAGTACTGACCAACTATTCTACATGTGTTGTGCCATTCTAGGAGTGTACAAGCCTTCTCATGCCCACCGACGCAAATATACACATGTACAATTTTAAGGTTGCTGCTTTTAGCCACGTTTTCCCTTTGTATAAACTTATACTTATGAACTTTGTTTCATTGTAAATAATTAGTACATATAGCATGCATATAGGGTGAATAAGCGATGGTCGATATCTTGATGAACATGATGCTACGTCAAAATGACATATGTAATATTAATAAATCATAATATGCGGAGTAGTAATTTATATATTCAAGTCATAATTTATGATCAATCATTTATTTTTTAATTTTTATTTCATTACCTAATAATTAAAACATGTATAATATACTTGTGATCTAATCAATATAACTATTTACTGTCCTTAGTTATGAGAGGTTAAGATAATTAGAGAGTGTGAATTTACATTATTTAAGGATCTATTTCCTTTATATTAAATTATTGATTTTTTTTTTTAACCTTTTGAGGGGGACATAATATATGTTTTGAGAAAATATATCAAATACATGCAGTAATGATGTAAATTCAAGTATTATTTTAGGTCTCAAATAATCTAGCTAGTCAATTAAGTCTAGTCATATTTTATATTACTCATATATATACACAAATTATCCTTATGACTGATGATTGAATACCATTTACAACATTGTCCATTCTACTTTTTAATTTAAATCTTTACAAAAAATGATCTCGATACTATACTAGATAATTATCACACATGCAACCCAAGTTTCAAAACTAATGGATAATTAATTTACCCATGAATATACTTGAGTACTTGACGTAATGACGCAGTTGAAACTGTCTTAATCTATACCTCATTTGTTTCTAGAACCAGATCCAAGGTGATGTGATGCGTGTAGTAGACTGACTATTTAGACAGCTTCTTAAAACTATCTAACAAAATTGAAGGCAGATGCACATATTTTCCCCTCGTTTAAATAAATATATATATATATATATATATATATATATATATATATATATATATATATATATATATATAGAGGAAGGCTCATGAATTACCCTCCTCTATATAAGAACCCAATCTTATATAAGAACCAATCTCAGCCCTTTATTAGTTTTGATCTAACCACCTAAAATGATCCTTTAGTAATGGCATTTCTGTAATTTTGAAAAGTTTACATTTAAAACATAGAAAAAAATTTAGAATATGGGAAAAATTTTAAAACATAAGCAGAAAAAATTTAGAACATAAGCAAAATTTAGAACATAAGCAAAAAAAATTTAGAACATAAAAAAAATAATTTAGAACATAAGTTGAAAAAATAATTTGATTTATTTTCATGTTTTACTATTAAGTTATTATTGTTACTTTCGAATTTTTTTTTTATATAGAGATAACCTATGTAGGAATCGAACCTACATCCTCTATGCATTTGTATAGTGCTCTACCAATTGAGCTAATAGGTTTTAGGCCTTTTAGCATATGTTCTTTTTTTCATTTACCGTAAATGTTCATAAGTTTTTTGCTAATACTTTAGTTTTTCAAAAGTTTTTTTTGCTAATACTTTAATTTTTTTTTTCTGCCATTGCCTTTTTATATGTTCTAAATTATTTTCCTATCATCTAAACTTTTTTTATCCATTACTTAAAATTTTTCTGTCTATGCTTTGAATTTTCCATATATTTCTGAAAATTTTCACCATATGTTCTAAACTTTTTCTATCTATAATCTTAGAACTTCTCACCCTATTTTCTAAACTTTTATCCTATATACTAAATTTTTTCACCCTATGTTCAAAACTTTTTCCTATTCTAAACTTTTTTAGATGTACTAAATTTTTTCGCCCTCTAAACTTTTTTTCCTATGTTCTAAATTTTTTTCACCCTATGTTCTAAATATTTTCACCCTATGTTCTAAACTTTTTGACTATGTTCTAAACTTTTTTTTTCATATTCGACATTTTTTATCTATGTTCTATATTTTTACCTATGTTCTAAAAGTTTTCATCTATGTTCTAAATTTTCTGTCTAAGCTCCAAATATATGTTCTAAATTATTTTCATATGTTCTAAATTTTTTCACCATATGTTCTAAACTTATGTTCTAAATTTTCTTTTATGTTCTAAATTATTTTTCCTATTTTCTACACCTTTTCTTAAGTTCTAA